AAAGTTCCTACCGAATTATTAAAGAAATTTACGGAAAGTCGTAAACAAGGAAAACCACAATTTGATTTTGAATAGAACTTTATCGATTTTTTTTCTAATAAAAACATAGACTTTTATATTTATCTTTAATTTATTGCATAAATATTTATCATTTAAATGAAAAATGGAATTATATGTTGAATTTATTGTAGTAAATGAAAATTTATTTAAATAATGTTTGTTATCAATATGAAAATAATCATCTTGTTTAGTATTTATCCATTGTTCCGAACAATAAATACTTATTAAATCTAAATCTTGATTAAATTTATTCGCGAATAATCTTTTACTTTGTTCAATATAATTGACAAACACTTTCAATAGTTTTCTTCGATTCACATTGGCTAAATGGTTGTTGAATTCAACTTTCATAATGAGATAAAAATTGATAATAAGAATAAATTGTATTAATTCTACATTTAATTCCAGGTAAATGTTGGAAATGAACTAATGTTGAATAAAAATGTTCATCAGACACAAAACTTCCATTTCGAAATTTCCAAAATTCTATCGATAATGAATCAAGGATGTTTTTATTGGTTTTATATCGAATTAATTGGCATTAATAACATTTTCTCATAATGAAAGACGAATGACTGGCAGTGGAATATATTTATTAATTTTATCTATTGTTAATCAATTGAATATTTATCGAAATTATGTCCATGAATTAGTGATTGGTCAGCATCATTTGTAACAATTGAACGTGCATGGACAATTTTTCGAGTTCATGAATTTCTTTTTCAAAGATTAATTCAAGATTTATTAGTTCATGAAAATAATCGAGAATGGTGTATGATTTCATTTGATCGTTACAATGGATTTTAAGTCTATAATGTAACAATTAATATACTGAATATTATTCTACCATTCTTATGTGATTTTATTGGTGCTTCATATATTCTAATTAAATTATCTTTAATGCGTTTACGTTTACAACAAAAACGAACATTCTTAATGATATTTTATAGTGAGTTTGTTAAACATAAACATTTGTTAATGTCACCGTTACTTTTGATCTTATTGAATTTACCACGTTTATTATTTTTATTTATATTTACATGTTTTGATTCATCATTGGAGTGGCAAAAATATTTATTAATTACGATTTTTTTTTTTTTTTCGTTTATGCCAAGATTTTTAACATTATTTCTATTCGTACTAACATCATCCTTGTATAGAAACGAACTGAAACTTTTTTTGAACAACTGTCTACGCCGTTTTTATCGATAAAGATTTTATCGTTATATCAGGGTTGAGGGAGAATCAACTTCGATTGTACTCATACCTACACCTACACCCTTGACAAACTAGTTTTTCTTTCTTTTTGACCTTCCTTTAAAGTAGCATTTTGCCATTGTCATTTTTTTTGCATCAATAAACAAACGAAAAAAATATAAACATATATTCTGTATGAAAACATTTTTCTGAAATTTTATATTTAATTATTTCCAAATATTTTCTCTCCAACTAAGTATTTATCTCACCTCTACAATATGTTCATACAAGAAACTTATTTCTTATACCAGTAAGTATAGTATATACATTTATATTTGCATCATTATATTGGCAACAATCAGGTTTATATTCTGATAATGGAATATCGACACTTCGGGTAGATATTCAACTTCTTATTGTTAAACTTGCAATTTTTTTTAATTAGACACCTTTTCGTATTATGGGATGTGTATTATTAATATCAATATTTTTAAGTTCATTAATGATTATACTTATTTATCTTAAAGACCATCTGTGGTAAGTATGAATTTTCTTAACGAGAAATGCATAATTTTCAAGAAGAAAGCAGATGTCCCACAGATAGCACTGACTATTCTTTCTCAAACTGAAGACTGTTTCTGACAGAAATGAACTATTTCTATTTATATTATTTGTTTCCTTTTGTGTTGATAACATGACACAGTGTGAGAAGTCTGATTAGTTATTTTTAATCCATTTCTTTTTACCGTATATGACTTTCTACTATAGAGTCAACAATTTTCTCGTGCATTGTTGTGTTCTTTTACTTACTGGTGAAGATAGGCCGATTAGCTGTTTTAATGTCTTTTGTTGTGACAGTGAATTTTTTTTGTGAACGTTTTTCTCCTGTCTTAACTCAAATTAAGTTTTGAGTGAGTTTTACTGACAAAATATAGTTTTCGATTAGTTTTGCTTTTAATACATTGTGCCATCCACTAAGTATGTTTGATTAATGCGTTGACCGACTTTTATTGATGAAACAGACTTCTGATTATTTTTATTTTTTTTCACAATCTATGTCATGGTTTGAGAATAAGCCGATTCATCTTTTCAGTAAGCTTTTCTATTAATAAAGACTTCTATCATTTTTTATCTTTAAAGTAATCTGATTTATGTCGTTGGGATTACTCTTACTAATGAAATACACTGCTGAATGTTCATCCTGTTTGTTAACTGCACTTAATTAATGAAAATAGTAGGTAAAACACTGTGCACAACTTCTATCAGTAATACATGGAATTTGAAATTCTCAACTTTCACAAGTGTATCTATTTTATCCGAATACCATTTGTGTATACGATATACTTCTTTCGTCTTCCTCTTATTGGCAAGTGCTATTATCGGATTATAAACCCTCGATCGATTCTTTAATTAATTTTTCTTATCTAAATATAGATCTAGTCACAACAGTTTATACAATAATTTGAATACCCCGAGAAATTTCACCATAAATTTGGAAAATACAATATAAAGGAAGAAAATACTGAATATCCGTCACCTTAAGATCCGTCTTGCATTCTATCTAATAAAGTATATTTATATCGACAAATATTAATAATGTGTCTCTCTCCAATGAGGATAATATTATCTAAAGCTAGAAATTTAGGATGAGATACAAGAGTTAATTTTTTCCCTAGAATACTGAACCGATCAGTAGTCCTGTCATATATGTTCAAATCTACGTTATTGTGTGTTTTTGTCAAGATTTTCTCATTGTTGTACTTCTATTCGAAGAGAACTGGAATCAGTTTTTTTGTGTCTCAAGTCACTTGAAAGTTTATAGTCCCTGTTCAAAACTCGCAAAGATCACAGTTTATTTTATCAATATATCATCATTTTCCTTCTGTTCTTGTTTGCCTCTTCTCATTTTTCTCTCACAATAAGAGATTAAGACTTATGATAGATAATTACCTTTTGAAATATGCAGCCACTTACTAAGCTCTTGTTTTTCTATACTCATGAGCATAAAAAACTCCCCTTACATTATTTTCTCTGCACGGATAACAGTGTTCTGGGAAGAAGTTATGTGATATTATTTGTATTATATTCATTATTATCTTTAGTGATGGATTTTTCAGCATATTTGTTTTAATATATACTTTTTCTAGCGTATGAATCGTGATCATTAAACGAATATTTTTATTCTTTTATCTTTTGACCAGAAAAAAAACGCTCTAACTAATATAAGAAAGACACACTTATGATATATCGAATTCTATTTATAACGTAAATGCACTTTCATAAGTTTTTGATCATTTATTACAAACGCAATAAATAACGTCTTTACTGGGGGTTAGCAAAATATTAAATGTTCTTTTTAACTTATCATTCTTTATAAATGCGATAAATAACATCTTTACTGGAGGTTAGCAATATATTAAAAGTTTTTTCTAAATTTATTATTCCTTAGAAACGCGATGAATGACGTCTTTGCTGGAGGTTAGTAACATATTAAAATTTGTTTTTCAATTTATCATTTTCTATAAATGCGATGGATGTCAACTAGATATGGCACCTTATTTTTTATTTTGTCGACGCTTTTGTAGACTGTGGAGTTTTATGAGTATTACACATACATTTAAGACAGTTATAAGCACAAAAGAGAAAATTCTCTGTAGCTTTAGAATTTGCAGTATAAATATAAGATCAAACGACGCTACTATGAAGTGTTAAACGAAAAAGTAAATGTGTCGTTTGTTTTTCGCTAAGGAAATAAATATACTGTTTTTTTCGTGATTCGTGAAATATTACATTTGTTTGTTGCAGTTAGTTATGATTCTTAAAAACAATTTTCCTCAATGTTTCTTATATGAAATCTATCATGAACCCCTACCAATTTCTAAGATTATAACATAGTGTAATACATCAATCGATTTAATCAGTTATATCGCGCAGCTACAATCATACTGTGACCTTTCAGTGACATAACTAATTTGTACATATACCTAGTATAATACTTCAATATAGTTATAACAAAGCAAAATTGTTTCAGATGTTGTTTTCCATGAAACGGATAACAAAGATTTTACTTGACTTACTTTCCACTCTCACATGAACTTTACCTTTTGTTTTCAGTCATGCGCAACGTGCAGATTTTCCCTGAAATTTCATATAGTAAATGATAAAGAGAAAAAAAACTTTTATTTTATTATTTTTAAAACATAACTGCTATCGTTTTTTTTTCGCGCTTCGTTTATATTATAAATCCTATTACTTAACTACTCGAAAAACTAGAAAAAAAAAATGTCGTAGATTTAGAAAGTTGCCGAGAATGGTACGAATAAATATTATAACTTTGTATCTTGTATATTGTGCTTAAAGAATAATTTTGGTTGATTGAGTCATTAATTCATTGTCTATCTTCATTTTCAGATACTATCAGACACACATAATAGTTTCAATGGCAATCTCTCTTATTGTTCAGTCTTGGCTCCTTCAAGTTTTCCAAATTCCATCTATTCTATTCGGTATTTTTACCCTCTACTACTTACTGATGGATCCGGCACTTCGAAAAGCACTTCACAATCATGTTATTATTGCCATTGTCTTTGTTGGTCTTATCTTGCAATTTATCGATGTTTCGGCGCTCGCTTACTACTGGCGTACCGGCACTGTATTAGTATCCACAAGAGCCTTTTGCTTTGCGTGGCTTTCCATTCATACCATTGGGCTTATAGGAACAACAATTCTAGTGGCTTGGGGATCGGTTGAACGTCATATTCTTATCTTTCATCCAAATTTGATTCGTACAAAAACAAAGCGATTTTTTTTTCATTATCTCCCATTGGTAATATGCATGATGTTTCCTGGCGTATTTTATATTACTATGCTCTTCATTGTACCTTGTTCTACTACAGTGAGCTACAATAAGGTAAGCTGTGGTTTGTACGCCTGTATTGCTGTTAACCCGTCAATTGCATTGTATGATAGTGTGGTGAATTATATCATTCCTCCATTTATCATTGTGATATTCAGTGTGGCCCTTATTATACGTGTGTTGGCTAGCAAATGCCGTGCTCGTCAACGAATTGAATGGCGTAATTATAGAAAAATGGCTATCCAATTATTATCAATATCTTTTCTCTACATGTTTCTATATTGCCCGACAATTTTCTTATATGCCACTTATGTGGCCGGTTTACTGCCATATATAACAGCTACCGGTTACTATTCTGATCTCAACTATTTTGGTTACTTTGCTGTAACGTTGACTCCTTTAATATGTGCTCTCTCAATGCCTGAACTTCGAACGAAATTTAAAATATGTTTTCCATGCTGCCGGAGATGTCGTGCTGCTGTTGGTCCACAAGCATTGATGATGACTCGTCCAATAGCTGGTCCAACAGCTGCAATAGCAGCAATTACTAAATAATGACTCTAAAATTACCGTAATTAACAAAAATAAGAGCATGATCTAATCTAAAAATATTAACAGACACTATTTTTCATCGGAAAAGGATCTCATATTATAGTTTCCCATTCTTACTTTGTTATTGTCATTGTATTGTTTCGTTCATTCGTCGTTGATCATTCTATCTCATTTGTTAATCAGGCATTTCTTTTTACTGAACATCATTTGATTTAATTTATGTTGTCTAATTATCTATATTTTATATTATATTTCAATTATTTCAGTTTAGTTATATTCAGAATTGTTTGGAAACATTTATCATTAAGTGAAGATGATTGATCAAATGTTTATTATCAATTTTTTATAAATATTATAAAACAAAATTTAACTAAAATAATTCTAACAGCATTAATAATTGGCGCACGTTTTCTTCAAATATATAATCTGGAAGAATTCTTTTTAGTGATGATTGCATATGAAGTTCAGTTCGATGTGATATTTAAAAGTTGATTTATATGAATTAATAAATGATTGAAAAAGTCTTCTTCTAATTATTAAAAGAATAAGAATATAATCTTTCTACTGAAACATTATTTAATAATATAATTTTTTAGAATATCTTTATACGAGTCAACTACAACTTTTTGACGCGATTGAAATTTTTGTTCTTGTTGATCAATTATTTACAGGATATATTTATTTACGAAGAAGTTTTTGTTGTATTATCAAATAATCAAGTTAGAAAATTTGCTCAAGTTGTTGGATATAAAAGTAAATCTAAAAGGAAAGATACTGATCTAGTTAGAGTAACATATTTCAATCAATTTATTTTAGAAATAATAATTTTGTTTCGAAATGGCTATGTGCACCCAGACAGATATAGTGAATTAACTAGTAAATATTAAGTTATATCGTAGTTTTACTTTATTAACTCTTTATTACATTTTAAAAAAGTATTTATTATATTTTGCAACTGCGCATATATAGAAAAAAATATAATTTAAATAAAAATCAGTTAGCTAACAAACATTTTTTTCACTGTTTTTTCATTATATTTCATCGAAGTGCTCAAAATTCTCTCCGTTGTCAAATTGCTTGCTGAAAAAAAGAATCTTTATCTTGTTCCTTTTTCTGAGTAAATAGTACTGATGAACTACGTATTCACTATTTAGTGTTAAATCAAAAACAAAAACAATCAGACTAACATACGGGTGTACTAAAAATGAGATTACATTAAATGGGTTCATTTAATTTATAAATTAACTTTGTATATGTTTTAATTTCTCAATTTATACACTTATGAAAAACTATCATTAAAAGCAAAGAAAAGCGCTGAAACAATGCAATTTTCAGTATATTGTAATGAAATAAAAATTCAATTATTTAGTTCGAAGTCCAAGACAAGAACTGCTAAAAATATTTGTAAGCTGATTGATTTTAATTTAAATTAAATTTTTTTGCGTATATATGCAACTATTATATATAGTTCATACTTTTTTTGGATGTAATAAAGAGTTAATCAAGTAAAACTACTATTTAGTTAAGATATTTCATCTTGAGGGTATGGGCGAGAATATAGAGACGTAGTCCACACCCTCGTTTTCTTCATTGTGTGAATCTAATTATGATATTTAGTTTAGACTCTAGAAAATATTTTTAAGCATCAAAATCTTCTCCTTCGACTAGTCTTGTATGACGTTAATCGTAGCGTATTTAAATCTCATCTTTGACGTTTTTATTTACGTGCGTTAATATTTTAATTATACCTTATAGATTTTACAATATTAGAGGTGTGAGTGGGTGAGAGTATAAATGTTAATATAATAAAACCAACACTCGCATACACGTTCAAATCCATCAAAGACTAGAGAATCAATAGAACTGAAATTCTTGACATTAATCTGTATGATTCAGCCACTATTCATCGATTTACTCTGTCACACGATGTGGTTCTTTTGATGTAAACAAAAATATTTTTTTTATAAATTAATGTTTAATTCATAATACCAAGTCATCATCTAATAAATGATAGAGGATGAGACACGTTGACAGGAAAGCTAAATCTATTTTGAAAAAGATTACGAGATAGTAAAGAAAATATTATTTAGTATTATATTTACGTTCTTTTCAATTTTATTTAAGATTTACACGACAAATACAATATGTGATCACAACATAGAACAAATAATTGAAGTTCATTTTAGGCAAAAAAAAATTATTGTCGAAAAATAACTTTCTTAACTTCATTTCGAAAAGTTTTTGATACAATTAAATTTGCATAACAACTAATACAGAATGGAATACCAGTAATAAATAAACATAGATATCTAATAATATTTTCAATTTGTACTTGTTGATTACTTTTTATGTGATATTGTGTGATTTGTTGATACATAAGAAAGATTGCAAATACAAAACTAAATAAAGCATAAATAATGACATCCATAAGTAACATAAAGATAAGTTGACGATCTTTTGCAGAAGTAGAATGAGCACGATTTTCTAGAGTTCTTCCAGTCATAGATAAATGAGGAATATCTGTAATACGACGAGCACTATTTCGAATATTCTTTATTGACCATAATCCAAGTATAATCAGTGATGAAAACGATAAAATTTGTTCGAGAAGAGAATAATAACCTCCAAATGTAGTCTCAAAACCAGGTTGAAGAGTACAAAGGAAAGTATTAGGAGCAATTTGTACAATAGTTGAAGTAATCAATAAATGAGTATGAAATAATGACCAAAATAATGTTCCAATACCAATACACATATAAGCAAAACGATGTGTGCTTCGTTGCCGTGTATGAGCATTTGGTGATGTAATGAAAACTCGATCAATCGAAGCTAAAACTAAATAAAATGGACTTAAACAATTGAATAAAATAGTTACATAAAGACGTAAACGACAAATAGCCAAATTGTACATAGTAAGATCAATTCTATATCCTGCAGTTACTACCAAAGTCAGTAATGCTGTATAAATATAAAGAAAATTCATAATATTGTATGCAATAAAATAGATTGTACATGGACTTCGTCGTAGATTCTTCTGTGTAAAAACAATTAAGTTGATTATACAACTTACAGTACCTATAAACATTAAAAATGGACAACCAATTTGATATAAATATTTTTGTACTACAAGCAATTGAGAGATTGTGTCGGTGAGTGACGACATGATACTATTAGATATCTAAAAAATTAAGAAAAATACAAAATATTGTATGGCTTTTTTAGAAAATGAATAGATTATAAATATAAGATTTGTCAAATAAATCATTCTCGTCTTTTTTCTTGTGATATAAAAACTAATGTAGAACAATTTCTCTAATGGAAAAGATTATGCTATTTTATATTTATATTTTTACATGTCGTAACTTAGTAATTAAATAAAAAACAACTAGATTTTATAATATGCGTAGTATTTTATATATTTTCCTGTTAATCTATTTCTCTACTATAATGTACATCATGCTGATTTAAAAGAAATAATACTACTATCGATTTTAGTGTAATTGAATACCAGAAGTATCTATATAAAATTTATTTCATTTTTTACGAAATATTAGAAGCAATCTGATTGTATTGATTCAATGAAAAAAAGGAAGTGATTACCACAAGCAGAATGGTAACGTAATGCCAAAAAATTGAAGAATCAAATCTAATACGTTAATGTAAAACAAATCTTTATGCCACGAAAGACACTAATCTGATCGACAGCAGATAAAGATTAAAAATAATCAGAAATATTTTTTTATAAATAAAAGTCTGATGAACAAAATGACTATTTAATATCGAATAGAAACATGGCATACATCATGCAATTATTAATGAAACATAAATTGACAACCTGCTGAAGTATAATATGAACTATTTTCTATAGTTGATCTATCGACAGTTAAATTAGAAACAACTCAAATGTGATACACACTTCGAATATTTTTTATAGATCATAATTCAAATATTTTCATTAATAAGGAGTGGGTGTGGATGATAAGTAGGGATCCGCGGAGTCAACTTTTTTTTGGCTCCAACCAGTGTTGCCACCTTTTGAAGCCCAAAAAGCAGACAAAAATTTATAAAAAGCAGTAAATGACAGAAATTTCACCACCAAAAAGCAGAAAAGGTGTTTCATACATTACTCTACTATAAAAAGCTTAGATTTGACATAATAATTGAAAATTACTTATAAAATTTCAATCTTTATTAAATAAGATCAACAAAAATAATCAAACAAATAAGTAAATAGAATTATCTAATTCCATTGTGCAATAACCAGGAAAACGAATACATAGAATTATTAGGTACATTATGTTTTAAATACATATTTTCTATCTGATTTGCAATTGTTAAGAGTTCAGGTTTATTTTCATCAGTAATACTATCTTCATCACTCATTCTTATTGTCTTTATATTATAAATATCTATACTATTCACGTTAATTATTTATATTCGTTCATTCAACAAGCATACAAAAGAATATATATATTGATTTGTATGAGTCACACAAAGCATGAGAAGAATGACAAAAGAGAAATAGATAAAGAATGGAATAAATATAAAATATTCCCTCGACTAAAAGGAGGGTGATAGGAAAAAAACGAAAATGCGTTTGTCTGTGTGTCTGTCTGTGCCAAGGTCAAAAAAACATCGAAAATGAATTTGTTACGGTTTTCATTTGTTTTTCCAGTAAATGTGAAGAAAATGAATTTCTACGACAAAGAGCTAAGCGAGTCCTCGAACGAGCGTTACTTGTAAGCTCGATTGCCTTGGACAAACATCTAAGGGTGGGGACGTCGTTGATGAGAAAGTGAGTGTAGATGGGGAGCTGGGGGAACGTGTGAACCATCAGAAGTTGAGTATTTTAAAAAACGCATTTCTAGGGGTATTTCAATGCTGGAAACTCGGATCTATGGTCTGTTCGATCCGACAGCTTGAGGGTGTGGGTGAGAAGCTGAGTGAATGTGAAAATCAATAGAAGAGTTTTTGAAAAAGTGAGTGTGGTTGTGTGTGGTAATGTGGATGAGAATGTAGAACGGTAAAACACTCACACTACACCCAAATCTCAAACTCTACAGCCATATCCACATATACATCCACACCCACACCTTCTCCAACGACTTCTTTCTCAGAACCCTTGATGAAGAGAACGAACTTGATACGAGAAGACAGTAAATGTGATATCGGTCATCAAATGTAATCTACATCACTGAGTAGTCGGGAGTAGCCGACCGAAGGGACGCCAACGACCGACTACGAGGTGAATGGACACTTCTTGAGGAAAATATAGTTGGGTTATGGAAGGACATGGAATATCTTTCATTAAAACATGTGGCGGAAGAGCTAAGCTTGAAATTTTATAAGCGTTAGCTGATAGTCGGTAGGTCAAAGTCAGTCGTGATTAAACTAACGAACTCAACGATTGCAGCTTGTAGATAATATAAGTTCGTTTACAGATATTAGTTAGAAAATGAGATTTACCTTAAAATTATATTTCAAAAATACAAAGCTCATTTTTTGATTTTTAAAATTCAAGTGAAAAGATTCACGTCCGATTCAGATATAAATTGATAGACCGATGCTCTCAGTTTAGTATCAATAGAAAATAGTTTTGCCCTATACAGTCGAGAGTCAACTGTGTCGAAGAGACGAACGTTACTTGTTTTTAAAAAAGCAGACAGGGTGGCAACACTGACAATAACATACGTAACAGATGTAGATCTTTTCGATGTGTATATCCATGATTTGTTGTTGTTGAATGAACTCGTCTTTGTGTTCGTCGAACATTAAAAATGGTAAACATATCAAGAATTGTCATGAGAATTGGTGGTAAAAGATAATTTATAATAGTTGCATACAACGTTATAAAAATTGTATAAGTACCTTGTTCAATGTAACAATAAGAATAACCAGATTCTGAAAGTATGGTTGTACCAATTATAGCATGAATAGAAAAAACTATCCAAAAAATTGATGTGCAAACTATTGCTCGTCAAGCAAATCGTGGTTGACTCCATGAACGCGTTCTTACACTTAATGAACTCAACATTAATCGATCAAAACATGCTAAAATAATAAAACTCAATGGTAGAATAGCCGTTAAAAAGGTAAGATAGAATTTAAATTTGCAAAATATCATCGATGTTCTTGCTGGATCAATATTATAACCTATAACATTAAAGTATATTTCTTAAATATGAATTATTTATGAACTTACCAATAGAAAGATCATTGAGAAAAATAGTAAAATTAATAAATATTAATCGTACACATGAAGCAGCAAGAAAATAAATCGCACATGAATTATTTCGAAATGTACGTTGAACAAAAATAATTATATTTAAAATTTCACCGATATTACCAAATATCATAAGAATTGGTGAACTTATTCGAACAAGTGAAATTTCAGCAGTCTGAATAGCTTGGATCGTCGCTAAGATTTCCATAGATGATGCTGCCATAAATTTAACTTTGTTTTCTCAAAAATAATCGTTATATTGTATAGACAAAGCTACTTTCAAATTGTCCTTTTAAAAAATTAGTTTTATGTTGATAGCTTCGTTTGTTATTGTTCTATAAATATACACAAGAACAATGACTATATCTATCAAATTTATGACAACAATGAAAAATTATTTTGACAGCTATCAAAAGATAATTAAAATATATGACTGCTTTTGTAAAATGAATTTAACTGATTAACATTAAAAGTCATTAAATAACATCATATTTATATCAAGGCTTTGTTCTCATATAAAAACCTATTTATTTATTTAAAGAAAAAATATATTGAAAAGGAGCATCTAATTTAATGTGAAATATACAACAAATAATGTAATATGTTTGATAAGTCCAGTTATAAAATATAAACTTTACTCAGAGTCACCTGACTATGTAGAAATAGTTCGAATGAAATTCATTTTGTAAATATGTTGTATTATTCAAATATATGATACCTTAATCAATTTTAGAAGATACTCACAAACTTCAACAGTTTATATTAATGATCAATTATAATTATTTAGAAAACTAGATGAAATAGTGCATATGATATGTTATGTAGTTTTATTGATGTTTTTCCTGAATTAAGTTATGTTATTATGAATAAACATTGTAAACTAATTGTAGCTGCAACTGATTGTGATAAATTAATAGTATTTACTAAATATTTGAAACATTCTGTTGGTGTAACCAGACTATTAAATACCGATCTAAGAATTTACTTTATATTATCCTTAGAACAACATCGTTCAGATTGATCTAAATTATATAACTATGGTCTTGTATCGATCAAAAATAAATTTCAGCATATTGGAGATGCAATGATACCATTACATGAAACGTTGACAAACATGTTCAAGCAAAGATAGAAAAAGACGCTTATAGTTTTTTTCAAAATAAAATTAATAAACGACATATTAAGTAATATTTACGTTTTGATAACATTTTACAAATATATATATACATATTTATTACCTAGGCTATAGCTCATCAAACAGCTGCATTAATTGATTCAAAAATTCAATCATTACAACAAGGATGATTCTCATCAGATGATATAAATGATTTTGTATCTCCATCTTTTGGTGAATCTTCTGCAAGAAGAATTTATATTCAATACTTTATAGTAGTTATAAAACAGTATTTCTTGTGAGTTATCATAATATTCATAAATAAGAATAATTTATAGCATCTTCAAAATATTTACGCAGTACTATTGGTCTTTTCTAATTCCAGATATTCTTTTCGACAACATAATTATGTTTAAATAAACAAACTTTTAATACAATTTACTGCAGGATATTTTTATTTTGTCAGTCGTCAATTTATTGAAAAAGATTAAGTATTTTATTCTTTTTTTCATTATATGTCTCATGTTCTAATAAGAAAATAATCATATTGTATTTTGCAAAATCATTCTTTTATAGTATTAGAAGTAAATACGTAAATGAATTGCATTAGTAATAAGCAATGAAATTAGACCTTTATTTTATGATAACTAGTGTTGCCACCTTTTGAAGCCCAAAAAGCAAACAAAAAATTATAAAAAGCAGTAAATGACAGAAATTTCACCACCAAAAAGCAGAATTTATCAGCTAAAAGCAGACAGTGTGACAACACTGCTTCTAGAGTCAACTTTTCTGAGCCCGAAACCCGACTCCGACGGAATCGGAGTCATGATCGGGTTTCGGAGTACTTCGCAGCTCCCTAGTGCTAGGTGAATGTAGTATCCACACCCCACACCTACCCACACCCTCAAATGTATCAGCCTTTGGACATCTTCTCAATGCTCTAGTAAATCTAATATTTTTATCAACAAAAGAGATCTTTAGAAGAAAAAAAAAGAAATTAAATCTAAATTGAATATTTTATCTTTGTGAATAAGTATTCATCAGGAACACATGGCTATAAAATCGCAATATACAGCCTAATTTTTTGATTTAAAATATAAAGTCTGTAAATATGAAGAGTGTGAATAATATTGAATAAAAGATCCTGATGTTATGCCTGAAATAGTTAAGTATGATCAGAAAAAAAACATAGAATATTCACCGAATGAATATACTTAGAGTGAAAAAGAAAAAGAAAATATAAAGTATTAATGTATGATTAGAGAAGTTTTTTTAAGATCATTTCTCAGTTTTTAACACTGGCCATCTTCAATTTTTTCTTCTTAATCTTTCGTTCTTGCATAAATTTGTCTAGACCAATAAGTACAACACTTGATACAACCAATGTACTTCCAAGTAAAACCCATAAATTTGACTTCTTCTGTGTAAATAAATTCTGTAGAGTAATAGCATAGATAATATCTACTGATGAAACAATCGTAACAATAGATGGTGGTTCACGTTTTATAGCGCCATTTCCAGCGATTACTGCAAGTGTTTGTCCTAAACTAATTAGTCCAGCTAACCAATACTTCCATTGAAAGATTGTTAGTGTAAAGAATGTTATATCATTTAGAAAAAAATATTTATAAAAATGATTGAGTATCAAGCATAGAAGAACGACCAAGCTATGTTGTAATATTAAAACACTTGGTTTAATTTTTAAAGTGATCAGTTGTTTGAAGATTAAAATGTTGAATGCAAATATAAGACCTGACATTAGTGCAAGAGATATTCCAATTACTCGATTGCTGTATGAATGCATGTTGTCTACATTTGTTTCATTCAATGTTGCTGTTGTTATGTTTAAAGCGATCTTCATTTCATTCTTTTGTGGAAAAATAAATGTTGGTTGTGCTACGAATATCACACCAATAAATGTAAAACAAACAGATAAAAGAATCATTATTGTCGGCTTCTCTTTATATATAAGTAAACCAAAGAGAACTGTCCATATTAAACGCGAGAAGCTGAGTGTTGTTAAATCAGGCAGAGGAAGATAACGAAAACCAATAAAAAATCCCAGAAAAGCAATACCAGTTAAAATACATAAAATAAATTGTAACCATTTTTCTTTTGATGATCCTACCAGTACTGCATAACGATGGTAAATAACGAACGCAAGAAATAGAAAAAGCTGGACAATAAGACGTACGACAAGTACATCGAGTAGATCAAATTCTAATTCTTTAACAATAAACGTTGCCGTGACGTAAAGAAAAGATGCTAGAAGACCATACAGAATACCAGATAGAGCGAACGGTCTTGATGCAGTTACTGTTTCACCATTATTATCATCTTCTTCTTCCTCTGCTGCTATTAATAGAACCGGTTCTAGCATTGTAGCTATAGATGAACTACGTCGAGTTTTTGCAACACGATCATTGTCAATCGAAGATGAAGGTATTAACAAACGCTGTTGATTATTACTATCCTGTTCTATTATACTCATATTGATTCTTTTCTGTTTGATGCACAAATTTTTGAAAGAAGTATATAATATGATGCCCAATAAACTGGCATCTTCAAAGTGTAGAAAGAAAAAGAAAAGAGTATATACTCTCTTTCTGTATAATTACTTTTTTTGTTGAAAGAGCACCCTAAAACCATAAACATTTGAGTTTGAATGAAAAAAGAAGTGATATTCAAGTGAAAGAACAGAAAAAAATTGGCCTTGATGAAAAAAAATACCTAAATATATTTTTAACTGCTGTCAGTGAGTGCAAAAGAGTTTTATCTTTATATCGGCTAGGGAAAACCGAGATTTATATCTCAGAAACTTTTTATCAATTTGGTAGACATGCAGCAATTCTTAAGTAACATATGTTCGAATGATGAAATTTTAAGTTGAAATATTCATGCTGATTCTGTAAATGTATTGCAGTATTATCTTATATATTCTTATCATATAATAGAATGTCTACAAAGTTACTGAGCAATGAAAATTTTGAATATCTTCACCAGATTGCAGTCGAATGAACGATTTATTTTATTCTTACTACAGCAATTATTTTATTTTGATTCAAATGATAAACTTCTAAAAGTCTTCTTTTGAATTTATATGAGATTTAAATTTTTATTTTATATATCAGTTGCAGTACATGAATGTTCCGATAAAATCGCATAAGAATAAAAAGACGTCATTTATGTTAAATGAAAGCTCCAGACATGTTACTTTTTTAACTCTCAAAGCAGAAAGGATGTTTTTGATACAGAAATCTAGTATAAATTATTCAAAATCGAGAAAAAATGGTTGCACAAATAAATATAATTATTAAATGTATATTTCTTGCTATTTGATTTCATGGCTTTGAATAAATTTTCATTGCCCAAAAGAGCAGTGCCTTTTGGCAATACACATGTAGGAGACAAGTATTATCGTACTCAAAACAATCTATACTCCAGTTAGAAGAAACTAGAGCGCTATTTTATGGAAAAAATATAAACAGATCAAAGTAATTATTGATAAGAATTTATCTCTATATTTTTAAAAGTATTCTTTCTAATAATATAATATTAAATAGAGCAGAAAAAATGAGAAAAAAAAAGAAAGAACAGAAGTTTACTCTTAGAATCAGGAGAGTTGGTATGCTTGGAGAGCTCGTTAAAACTGAAATTTATTATTACTGAATATTAAGAATGATGCAAACTTTTCAGTTCTTATGCTTAAGAAATTGTCACATATTTTTCACCTTACGGCGCACAAAATTAGGTATTAATTACTGAAAAACGAAGTAGAACTCTTTTTTTTCTTAGATATATTCACACGATGAAGCCCGTTAATAAGTTATGTTTTATGATGAGAAATCCAGAAAATAATTTAGCAGATCTTAAAGAATCCCACAAAAGAAGATATAATTTTTGGTAGTATTCCTCAAGATCTACTAAATTCATTTAACATCAAGTTGATTAATTATTTTATGTGAGATTACAGCGACAACCCTTTTAAATAATATTACTTCCTTCTTGTCTATTTTCTAATTCATTACTCTATCGGAACGTGACATGGTCTCAGTCTTTTGATTAGATGACATCCTGTCAATCTACTTTTGTGATGTCTTCAAAATTTTTCCGACAGCTAAATTAATCAACAGTAGTTACCCTTGTTTCTATCTATATCTCTCTATATTATTGTTCATCTGGCAAAGATATTTCATTTATTCTGTGTTGAGCTTCTGTGTTAGTCAATTGACAAAGACGCTTCACTAAGTATTTTATAAAAGACTTTGTTTTCGATATAGATAGGAATTGACATACATGATCTTATAATTTTATTTCATGAAATGCAGAATTTTTTTCATTTTTTTTATTAGGATAGATTTCTTGACTCATATAATGTCGTCACCAGCTGAAGTTGATTTTATTACATCCATAAATAATGTTTCGGCTCAAATCAATCGATATTTATCCATTTTTATCTTTCTTTTCGGCACAGTGGGCAATATTCTTAATATTCTTGTTTTATCTCAACGATCATTTTGTTTAAATTCATGTGCAACATTATTTTTGAGCTCATCTATAGCTAATTTTATTGCTATCATTACTGGTCTCACATCAAGAATGTTATCAGGTTGGGCAGCTGATTTGACAAATACAAACAGAACTCTTTGCAAACTTCGAGCTTTTGTTCTCAATGTTGCAAGACCAATGGCATTTTGGCTTATACTATTAGCTGGTATCGATCGATGGTTATTATCTAGTCCGAATATTCGTTATCGACAGATGAGTTCATTAAAAAATGCGCAACGAAGTATAATTATTGCACTAATTTTATCTATACTTCTATTTTCTCATATAATCTATTGCTATGAACCAAATTTAATTAATGCTCCATTGAAATGCTATGGAGTAACAATAGCATGCCGTCTAGCAACGGATCTCTCACTTATGTTTATCGTTATTTTTTTTCCATTATTGTTTATGTTAGTATTTGGTTTCATGACTATTAAAAACATACGTCACTCACGAGATCGTACACGACCTGGTGATATATCAATGATAAGTATGAAATGGCCAACATCAACAAATAGAATTCATAAACAACAACGAAATAAAATTGATGATCATCTTCTTATAATGCTCTTTGTACAAGTTCTACTTCTCTTTATATTTGCCCTCCCGTTGGGTGTCCAAAAATTATATTCAACAATAACAACAAATAGAGTTTCATCACAAGCACAAGTTGCTATCGACAATTTTGTCTACAACTTTGCTTTACTTCTTAATTTTGTGGCTAATGGAATGCCATTTTATATTTATACATTGGTTGGTGGAAATATATTTCGAAAAGAACTTCAGAAAATGTTCGCAACAGCAAGACAGAAAATTTGTCGTCTATAACAATAACGTTACATATAAAATCAAGATTTTTTTTAGTGGAAAAGTTTTCTAGAATCGTTAAAGACATCTCATTTAAATCAATGGATGGTTACATTACTCATTTATACAACCAATTAAAAATAAAATAAAGTGATTGAAATAGTTCCCTTCGCTTCGATTATTTCATATTCTATTCCCATGAAATATACTATGACAAAACATACTTCTAATATGTATTTTTTTCTTCTATGTACACTTTAAGTTTGCGAGTACTTTTATAGTAATGAGAGAACGAAAGAAAAACTAGATATCTCGTCAATGATCTTGAAATTTTTTAACATCGAACTTTAGAGTTCCAAATAAATGTAAATATTAAAAAGAAACAGATTATTGAATAAGTCTATGTTTTATCTTAAAATAACAAATAAAAAGGATGTGAATGTTCAAACATTGACATTTAATCGCATTCATCCAAACTCTGAAAATGTTTCTTCAACATGCGCACACTCTCGGTTCATCCGTCCTCGCCGTACGCACCTTTTTTTAGTAAAGGTTAGTCATCCGTTTCCTTTATAAAGTCGACGAGCATCTTTGCGTTCTGTTCTATTTTTTACTTCTCCTCTACCTGTTTCTTTTTCTTTTCTATTACCATCAATACATTGATTTTAATACAAACAAACATCATTCACTTTCACGAAAAAAAAACCGGTCAGCTACTGAACGCTTCCTTCCATTCTATTGTTTTATTCCTACTACTATTTTTTTCTTTAATCCTATCATCATACATGAACACGTAAAAAAACTCTTACGCTCATTATTTCTTTTAGGAGAATAGATTCTATGAAAACTTATTTTTAGAATTATTTATTAATTGATAGTTAGTTTATCATGTCTAATGGAAACACAACTCTCAGCTATACACCGGGCGGTGCTGATGATCCAGCAAATCCATTTCATTGTATGCTTGGAAACGAAGTTGGTATATGATTACACTTTTAGGTGGATGTATTTTAGAAATCATAGGTTATGCAACTCGAATTCCATTAGTTTTAAATCCTGTTGGACAAATTCCTTTATATGCATGTATGAATGCTTGTCTCATCATTGCACCTGTATTTAATGCTGCAATTGAATATGTATTGTTTGGTCGATTAGCACATGCTCTAGGTGATCATTATTCATTAATCAAACCAAAACTGATTGCTTGGATTTTTATCATTTGCGATGCTTTTTCATTTTTGATACAAATAAGTGGTGCTGGACTACTCTCCTCAGCTAAAGGTAATTCAGAAAGCGCAAAAACTGGCCAGACTATTCTTCTAGCTGGTCTTGGAGTTAACCTCGCATCATTTGCTATTTTTTGTCTCCAACTCTTCTACTTTGAGTATCGTATAAGAAGATTATCTCCCATCATTACAAATGGTAATATCTATGAGAAACGTTGGCGACGATTCCTCTACATTATCTCTCTCAGCAGTACTCTCGTCTTGATTCGACAAATCTATCGTGTAATTGAATTTGCTCAAGATTTTACTGGTTATTTAGCAATTCATGAAGTCTATTTTTATATTTTTGATACTATACCTATTTTTATATCCAGTGCAGTTTACACTGTTTGCTTTCCTGGTAATGGTTATCTGCCATCAAATAAAAATGACACTTTTACTACTATGCACAACAATGAATACAATACAACCCTTTGGAGACGCTTCAATTTTGCTAGAAAATAGCTTAAATTTATTAATTTTCACGTATATTTATCCTCTACAAATACACCTGTTAGCTTTTTGAGGGTATATAATCGTTTGTTTCTTTTTCTCTTGTTCTTATAAATACATGAAGAATTCTCGTTTCTATTTTATTGTATAGTTATTGAAAAATACGACGACACCATACATGAAAATACAAGAGAAAAAATAAGATAGTACATAAATGATGATATCAATTGGTACAACTTTTTCTTTAAAATAATACATTAAATAAGTTAGATATTAGTAATAAGAAGTCGATCTAGGAAATGTCGAATATGTTCTTCTTCTCGATGTACACATAGAACATTACTCCATCGTTTTATATCAAACGCAGGAGACCAACAATTTGTCAGTCGTGCTAAACCTGTTTTACCAAGCATGTAACAGATGAAACCTTCTTTACTAAGGAACTCGATGACTGTTAATAGACTAGTTGTTTTCCATGTTCCAATTCCATGATTTTCAAATATAAGTATTCTAATTTGTTTTTTTGTAAATAATTTTTTTGCACCTTGAAGAACAAGTGGATCAGCACCTTCCGTATCAATTTTAAGTAAATCAATTTTCTGTTGTATATTTTTTTGTTCAACAAATTCATCAAGTGTTATTGTCGAAGTTTGAAAAACCTTTTCATTTGATGTAGAATGATCTATGGCCAACAGTCCGCATAATTCACTTCCTACAGGACATTTTTTCATATTAGCTATACCTGTAGTATTACTAATCGCTATTTTATGAAGATACAATGTCGAAATATTTATCCAAGTGCTTACTTGACGAAGAGCTTGATAAGTACTTTCCATTGGTTCAAATGCATGAATTTCAAGTGTAGTATTAATACGATTATTTGTCTGTACGCTGTTTGATATTGTTTCGTTACAATCTGTACAAACGCCACAATCATCGATTTTCAGCACTTGTGAAAGATACATGTATAGACTTTTTGGATTGACACCTATTTCTGGCATCCACATAGATAACCATAAAGCTATAGTATAACCTTTATTCGCTCCAATATCAAATAAAAGCTTCTTTTGTTGTAACGATTTATTTAAATCAGCAAGATATATCATGGAAAGATAATCGTTTCCATAACAAGCTGACCAAATATTGTCTTTAGATAAAAGCTGTTGAAATTTATTCGCTTGAGTTAATATACTAGCCAGAGAACATATCTTTTCATTTGGATAGGTACTCTGAGACATAGATTGTGACAATCTAATCAGTTGCCATAGTTCGGATAAATGATTTGAAATAATTTTATTTATAATCACGACATTAAGTGTAATAAATGTTATCGACATAATACATATCATAAGAATACAACTTTTGTTTCTGATAGACATTTCTGTGATCAATAGGAAATAATCATTAATTCATAGATATGATCTTTCTAGAACGAAAAAGGAGTCAAATAAAAAATCAATTAAAATAAATCTATGTTTTACTAAAATTTTAGGGATTGTATCGAATCATATGAAATGTAACTATATATATGCAGTACTTATAATCAACTATAAGTTGTGATTAAATTAATACATTATAAACGTACAGAATATGATATTCCTACGTTTTAACATATTGATTGATTTGAGGAGCGATTGAAAAATATTTCACTCAAAGAGATTTAATTAAATAGGAAGTGTGTAGTCTTACTTAATCCTAAATATATTTGTCATAGACTTATGCTGAATATCCTGTGAAATCACTTCTTTTGAAGGATAAATTATTTCTCTATGTTTAAGCAATCACTATTTTTTCTTGTAAAAATACTTTCGATTTTCAGACAATAGTCAATATCATCTAATTCTTATTTATAATAATACTTACTAAATGTTTGATTGTAGCAATAAATATGATGTAGTATGTGTCGTTTGAAATAGGTTTTTTTCTCTTTCTTTTTAACTAGAAATGGAATGGTGTAATATATTTTCTTCTTCTTCTTCTTCTTCTTCTCCGTTTCATAGACTTCATTTGTTAAGGTAGCATTAAATTGGCTGAATTAATAATAAATATGGCAAATCCTTTTTCTGTTCTCGGATTATGCTACGACAGAAAAAAAATTTTAAATAATCACCGCAAGCCGTACCCTTAATAAAACAACGACACGATGGAAATCAATATTTTTTTCTTCATTCTAATTGTTCTTTCTTTCCGTTGTTAAATATAATGATTGTATAGTACAAATAGCAATAAATACTGTTAGAAATTTATATTAGTATAGCAGTGTGCAATAAAAAAAGTGAAAATAATATTTATCGATGTAGGTATAGTTTAAGAGACGATAAAGGATATTGTATTATTTAATTCATCAGAATTTGATAAATGAGCTGTAACTCTTATTGTATTGCTTTCTCTTGTGATTGACTATCTTATTGTCATTGTAAAAATACTAAATTACACAACTTCAAAATCATTGGTGGTATCATTGAGTTTCTTTTGCTAGAAATGAAAGGAATTCATCTTGACTGATGTTTGTTAACAGGAAATCATGTGCATTCATAAACATAAACCACTTGATACTGTACAATAGGTAGTGTGTGCATCCCAAGAAAATCTTATCTAAAATTCATATGTGAATGTTGCAGACTTTATATCGCTGCCATTGTCTCTAGTTGCTGAAATGAGTTTTGATTCAATGCTTGATCTTTTAATTTAATTAAGTGTAAATGATTGTAGTTGTGTACTCGAGTGTCAACTAGGAACCTATCGCAAAGAGATAATATTAGACAAATGATGATGATTTTCGTCAAGATTGTAAGCAATAATTACTAAAAAACATAATTCCGACGAAAATTTACTTAAAGTTTGGTAGTTAATGAAATGTATTTAAATATTTGTTTTAATAAAAAAAAGGTTAATCGTGACAGATCAATAAAATTACATTTGGTCGTTTCAGGTAAATGCTGCGTCGTACTATATCAAAATAATTCGAATGATCAACTGTTCTTCGCGATACATGCTATTGCGGTATGGATTGGAACAGAAATAAATAATCATGTATATCGCGCTCAAAGCTAAGATGGCTCTGTACTTTGCTTGCAGAGAATGGATCATAATCTTACTCATAGTTAATTAACAGAACTAACTAAACATGTCTATATGTAAACAATAATCTTCAATCGAAACTGCATATATTCATAATCTTTTGACTCCTTTGAAAATAATATACTACTTTTGATAAATTAAATTAATATTCGAGGGTGTACGCGTGGGTATTATCTGTATTCACCCACACCCACACCCTTCAATGGGAAAACGATATAACCATGTTATTGAATTCATATTTGATATAAATTCTATACTAAAAAAAATAAATATGTTGTCTTCTCATTATATATAGAAAATGTTCTGCTTCGTAAAATTGTTCTCTCGCTATATTCATATATTTAGTTTCGATATTTTTTTGTCCTTAGTGAAAATCTTTCTTATACATAATATTACTATCTGATCTTTTACGTTTGTTTATACTTTTAGAAAATTGTAATAACAATAATAAAGATTTGTTTTCAAAAATATTTGTATTTATCATTATTTTTTTCAATACTAAATATATTTGTTGTATTATAAGATGAGATTATTGTCAAACAAGATATTATGATACACTATAACAATTTAGTTATATTTTTAGATTTCTAATTATACAGAATATTAGTTTTTAAGAGACTAAAATAACACAAGAAATGTTATTTTTGAATAGTTAAGATATCATGTATATACCTGTACATAATTTTGAGGATGGGTCTGAGTGTTGGTGCTAGCTAAATATAGTATCCATACCTAAACGTGCACGCACACCCACCCACCCATTACATTCATGACTGAATAACTATATTTGATCAGTCAAAATTATCCTAATACTATATGAAATATATATATATGTTGAATAAAAATATATCATCATGATAAGGATGTCTGACATAAGAAAATGTAAAAGTAACGTATAGTATTCAACATCATGCTTACATGTAAATTTTATCATATAAAGATAACAGTATAATAATACTTTGATGTTGAATAGAACATGACGCATATTTTATTATTCTTGTGAGAGTATTAGACAAACACAAGTTAGTTTTTAAATTGAAGTCTTTTATAGATCAAAATATGCATACGAACAAAGCTTATATCGAACTTGAAGGTGAAAATAATAAACCAGACAAATGGTGGCATCATCGACGGCTTAAGATCGTTGGAATATCTTGTACAATTTTAACAATGTTCGCAATCACTCTTTTTCTATTGTTAAAATTTGTCATTCTTGCTCCGGAAACGTCAAATAATACTACCACCACCACCAACACCACGATAACGTCAACACACACAACAATCCTTACCACCACTATGATAACATCAATTGACACAACAATCCCCACCACCACTTCGATGACATCAATTGACACAACAGTCACTGCTACCACTATGATAGCATCAACATATACAACAATACCCACTACTACTTCGATGACATCAATTAACACAACAATCCCTACCACCACTATAATAACATCAATATATACAACAATACCCACCACTACTACGACAACATCAACTTACACAACAATCACCACTACCCGACAGTCTCGTGAGTTTCAGAAACTATTTTATATTAATAGTAAAATTTTTTCCACATATGAACTTGAGGATATTTCAATACTTATATTCTTAAAACAATAATATTCAAATGATTTCGTTTAGAATGGTCTCATACTCATAGTATGCTATATACACGACGAATACATACAGCATCTGTATTAACAAATGAAAAAGTGCTGGTTGTAGGTGGATACAACGGCTTTGTTCTAAATAGCGCTGAGTTATATGATCCATTGACAGAAACTTGGACAGGCACTCATAGCATGCATGAGATACGATATGCACACACGGCATCTGTATTAGCAAACAGTAAAGTATTAATTGCTGGTGGATACGATGGTACCTTTGCACTCAATAGTACAGAGTTGTATGATCCATCAACAGGAAATTGGACAATCGCTAGCAGGATGAATGATGCACGACATGCACATGCAGCATGCATACTGGCAGATGGAAAGGTGTTAGTTACAGGTGGAGAAATTGGTATTTCTACTTTAAATAGTGCTGAATTGTATGATCAATTAACAGGAACTTGGACAATGACTGGTCGTATGAATGATGCTCGAGATTCACATACAGCAACTGTATTAAAAAATGGGAAAGTGTTAGTTACTGGTGGACAAAGTGGTACTAATATTGTTAGTATTACTCTCAATAGTACTGAATTGTACGATCCATCAACAGGTACTTGGACAATGACTGGACATATGAATGATGCACGTGAGGTACATACAGCCACCCTATTACCAGATGGAAAAGTATTGGTTACTGGCGGACAAAAAGATAATGATATTCTTAACAGTGCTGAATTATATGATCCATTGACAGAAACTTGGACGATTATTGCAAGCATGAAGAATACACGAGAAGTACATACAGCATCGTTATTAATGAATGGAAAAGTTTTAATTGCTGGTGGATATATGGGTAATACTACAGAAATTTATGATCCAACAACGAGTACTTGGGTAGATGGTGGTGACATGAATGATGTACGAATATCACATACAGCATCAGTATTAACGAATGGAAAAGTATTAGTTACTGGTGGATTTGGTAATGTTAATTATCTCAGTAGTGCTGAGCTGTATGGTTAATCAACAGATGAAAATATCTACGAAACTAGTTATACAATAATCGATAGTAAACATTTATAATATATTTGAAGCAAATTAACAATACAAGCCTAAATATTTTATTCACATATGTTGTTAACTATTTTTCATTTTTGATTTTCATGTAATTTCTCACTAGTTCACTTTTAGTATATGATAAAAGAACCTGCTTGTCCTGTTTATGAAACTGAGTATATGACGAGGAAAAAAATCGGATCGCAATAGGAGCCTTTATCAAAACTTATTATCTTCAAAACAAAATTAGAAGTCTAATGGACTTCTATTCTAGATAGGAAATTGTTAATCAATTATCGAAAGTATTTATTTGAATAATTAAATCTTCCAATTTAAGAGTTGAATTTAATATATTGTTAAATATTTAAAAGTTATTTCGTATGAAATTTGTTATACAATTTTGAATACGACATACTTTAGATCTTATTTGTCGAAGACATCAAGGTTGTATTTCAATCAGGGCTGCCAAATCTCCTAATTTAGCCAGGAGTCTCCTGTTTTTTTGACCCTTCTCCTGGTTTCTGAATTTTCTTTTAATTCTAACTTTTAGCGATACCTTTAATCCATAAAATGAGATAATAGAAAGGGAGAAAAGAAAGCGAAGAACAAGAATATCACATTATTTGATAAATGCAATAACCAATAAAAAAACATGTTAATCTTGTGCTTAGTTATGTGATAAAACTAAAAAATAATTTAATTCTTGAAAATGATTTATACTGCAAAAACTTACATATTGTAGATAAAAGGAGAGAATACCTTAAACATTCCTCAAAATGTCTTCGTTGGAAGATGCTGAAATCATTGAAAAAACGAATTCATCGAAAGAAAATGTCATGCCGTAAGCTGAATCTAGTCCATTAAAAATAATTTTACACTTTGTGCTTGATTTCGAAATAAACGATGAAATGAGACATACTTATTATCATTATTTTTTTTCATATATTGTATTACATAGAAAAATGTGCCACAATAACTTATTAGGAGAAAACTTTCATCTTTTGTATAGAAGAAAAATTCAATTTCTTTCAAAAAAACAAACAAAACTTTTTTAATTTTAATTAAAAATCTCCTGGTTTATTCTCCTGGTTTCAAACAAGGATCTCCTGGCCAATCCCTGGTTTTCTAAATTTGGATTTGGCAGCCCTGATTTGAATGGAGAAAAAAGCATGAAAGTATTTATATATTGAATATTGCTTATAACGTATGAGCAAAATATATTGATACTGTTATTTCAATTTAATTTAAATACAATATAGTCATTATAACTTAAAACACAAAAATCAGTTTTTACTGATCTCATAAATCTTCTAGTGAAAAAAAACGACGTAATTGTATAATGCATATTATTGTGCATGATATAATAAAAAAATAAAAAAACGGACGTGTTATTCTATTGATACAGAATAAATATGCTGATAGACAAACGTCTGTGTATTTGACTTTCTATGACGTGCATAAAAAAAATCTGAGTATTTATTGAATAAAACATTTATTTGAAGAATTCAATGTGAATGTGTTTTTATCATTTCTCTCTTAGTCGATTAACCATACGGACATGATTTATCACTCTCTCTTTTTTTTTTTTCGCGGAATATTTTTTTCAGATAAATAATAAAACTCTCTCTCTCTCGTCTGTAATAATACTGTTATTAATCATTTGATTTTTTAACGAATGACTGAGAAGTTTTCTGAAGCTCTTTTGCCACCAATTGGTGGACAAGTAAGGAGAAAGTTTTTTTTCTATATATTTGTCTAAATTTTGATATCTCTATAGGTGATAAATATTCCAAAAGATATTCAACAATTAACAATCAAGGATGGAACTATATTTATTGGAAAAGAACATTCGTGAGTATTTTCTCAAAAGTATATATCATCATTTAACTTATTTTATTTAGTAGCCATCCATTATTTTTATTATGTCGATATTTATTGGTATTCGGTTTATTGATGATTTTTGGAATGGGAGTAATTACGATTACATCAAGATTTCGACAAGGACCTACACTTATTTTTGGTATAAATTATCTCATTAAGATATTTTTTTTTATTCTTTTTCCTTTAGTTAATCAAGCGGATAGTTCACGTACTGATCCATTAGCCGATCGTAAAACTACAGGTAATAAAATTTGTTGAATTTTTTTAATATATTAATCTTTTTTAGAGTCACCGACTACACGAGTAACAACTGTTCAAATGAGTATGTATATCTGAATTTATTTTGAAAAATTATTTAAGTATAAAAAATAAAATTTAGCAAATCGTGAACCAAATATGGCGGTTCTCTTTTCAATTATGAATCCGACTGCAAGTTTGTCCCGTTACTATCAAGTTAGTACGGTCTATATAGCAAAAGGTTATCAAACAACATTATCGTTCTTTATTCAAGATGGCCCGTCATACACACATCTTGATGATGTATCAGTCACTAATTCATTAGGACGAGAATTACTTGTCAACGGTGATTTTGAAAATAGTACTTATTATTCGTATGGATGGGTAGGTGCAAGTATTGATCGAGCTGGTAATGCACATATGGGTCAGGGATGCCATCGTGAAGGTAGCTCGACAGTGCATAATGTCTCGCAAACGTTTTACACAGCACCTGGAGACATACTCAATATTAGTTTCTGGATTAAATGGGGAGGTACCGGTCAAACTGTTTCAAGCAAAGCCACTATTTATCCATAATTATTCGAAATATCAATTGAACACAATTAATCATTCTTTGAAAATGCTTTTTCCTTTTTTAAGTTTAATTGTAATCCCATCAATAAATATCCTATCCTGCTATAAAAATATCAATAAATAACATCGAAAATACTCCGTAATGCACGGGTATAGATCACAGAATATGCAGTCAGACATATAATTTATCTTTTAAGACATTTATAGAGTGTGGGTCTGGATCTCGGTGTGAGTGAAAATTAAATATAATACTCATACCCACACCCTCCAGAGCTAGATGTATATTAAGTATTTGATTTTAAACGTTTTCATTTCACACATTTCTTTTCTTTGCAGTCATATCCAGCTCGTTCTTTACATCCGAAACAAAAATTGAAAAGTCAGTATAAAGCCAATCATATCCACCACCGTTTGCAGTGAATTCATATATACAACAACCATAATCAATAAAAGACATATTGACTTGTTGTGAAATTTGCCAATTATTTTTTTCGAAAATAATTCTATTGAACTTAGCACATTGTGTACCATTGTAAATCCCTGATGGTCGTACTTTAAACTCAACTTTGACTTGCCCACCAGATGACTGAACTGGTGGTGTTTGCAATTTTATTGTAAAATAATCTTGATTATGTGGAGTTACCACAAAACTATTTTGGGGTTCGATAGTATAACCTAAAAATAATCAATATATAACAACACAAGTTGCTGAAAACTATAATTTACCTGCATTTGCATTTCCACAATAACCAGGCCATTGAGCAGGTAGATTGAATAAATGTTCCGCTTCTGATGGAATACCACGGATGAACAATAGGTAAACTGTAGTTATTTATTTTCTCATTAAAAACATGGAACATATATTTACTCATCATTATCAAAAGATTCGGGAGGAGAAGGACGTGCTTGAATGGTTTTAACTGGTCTATCTTTTGTTTCAAAATAACTAAAACATGGAACTTTGCCAATACGAGAGTGTATCAAATCACATATTTCCACTGTATCATATCTCTACAATAATGAAAATCTTTTTTTTTATTATATATTATTCACTCTTAGGCAAATTAATTTAAATCAGAATGAATAAGTTTTAGCATCTGTATAGAACCTCTATCAAAAGAAGTTAACGTATGAAAGATAAATCTTGTGTCAATTCTAATCGAAATAGGAAAACTTACTGTTGCATTTAATTGAAGTTCTGGTATCCATTCTTCACCCTTATTAATAAGATTTGGTGGTAATGGATACCATGGATAAATTTGAATATAATTTTCTACGCCATTCAACCAACTGATTGGAAATGGACCTACATCAAGCATTGAGTTTGTTCTATACCAACAATCGTTCTAAAAATCAATTATTTGAAACAAAAACAAACAAGAAAAATCGTCTTTTTACTTTTGTAAAGTATGGATAATCAGGATTGAAATTAAACATTGTATAACCTTGTGAAGCTGACTAAAAAAACATTTTATGATTCATTTTTTTCTTCAAAATCGATTATTTTCTACTTACTGAATCTGCTTCGGCACCTTTGGGTTTATATTGAAGCATCCACGTTTCACTTTGATTTTCTCGGGATCCTTGAATATCGAAACGAACTCTTAAGTTATCGTAATCATACAATAATTGTTTAACACCTGGAAATGGTGAATCCCAAGAACCTAGTCCACTTATATTTAATATGGCTTGAAATTGTTTTGGAAAACCATTTTGACTTACACATTGATTAATAAATAGAATCAATAAGATTGAAATTATCGTTTGTTTCATTTGTCAAACTTTCTCGTATAATTCTCAGTAATAGAAAAAATCTGTATCAAAAATATAAAAAAGTTATCTTTATATATAGATGTTTGCTCTGTCATTATTAAGGATGATAAAAAAGAGTAGTCAGCCATTCACACTAGGCAGTATGACGCAGTAGAACGAAAAGAAAAGAAAATATACGACTTCTCCGTCTTCTATAGATAATGTATATTAATGACAGAACGAAAAACATGACTGCTATTTTTTCCATCCTTATTAACACAGATATTATATTGTAATACCAATTGTAATGTTATATAAAATGCACAAGTAAAGAAAGAATCTATTTCCAGATGTAAATAAATATCTTGAGAGTCGGTGTGGGTGAGTGCGCATGAAAGCAATAGAATAACCTAAGCCACACCAACCCGCAAGATACCAAATGATGTTAGAATAATAAAACTTGTTTTAAATTGGTTGGAATTTGTCTGAGAAAAATTTTCGAAACAAAAAACAAACAAACGAAGTAATGTAGATGTAAGCATGATGTCAGATAAAATTTATTTGTTACTTTTGTCATTATTTCAAAACAACATCGTTATATTCTACTTTTTATAAGATTACTTTTTTAAGTTAATAAAAAATATTTTTAGTTCTCCTTCATTCAAATGCATTATACGTGCTTTTTCTCTTTTTGATGTAAGTCAATGAATCATTCATTATTAACACTTCATACTCTTGAAGATAACAAGTTTAAAGAAAAAGTAGCCTGGTATGAATATGAATGTGGATGACAATACCGATGTAAGTATTCTATTATTTTTTATAGTACGCCCTTCTCTACGGTTCATTTCAAAATTATAAACTTGATAGGTGGGGTATGGAAAAAATCAAGAGGAATCAGAAGAAAATCTTAAGAATCAGCTCTTAAATTCAGGAGAAAAGTTTAAAAATCAGGAGTCTCGTGATCAAATCAGTAGGTTTGGCAACCCTGTCCTCAGAGACTCGTCCATGGTATTTGTCACACTCACCCATCGTGATAAAATAATTGGCATGTATCAAATTTTGAAAAATCGAAATATTACTTTGTTAGTCATTCTTTTCGTTTAGCAGATAGAAACAAAATAAAATTTATAACTTTTATTAATAGAATTTAAAATAAAAAAATATGTATATTAGATAAGTAAGTCAAGAATAAATGTATGAAAAATATTTTATAAATCAAAAAATTTTAATTTACTTTTTTGAGTTAAAGTAACTAAACAATGTTTATCAGGAATATATGTTGCTAAATCAATATTTTCAGTACATTCAATTATTTCTTTAGCTTGTGCATTTTCATCAATAATTGTAAAAAATTTTGATCCAGTATGAATAATAAGCCAATTCATCGATGAATTTGGTAATGATATTAATCGTCGATTAAATTCACTTTTATCAAGTTGTATCGATAAAATAAATGTCATTGATCGATCTCGTAATTCAAAATGCCATTGTTGTTTATCATCAAGTATTATCAATCCAATTAAATTTGGATTTATTACTGAAATCGTAATACTAATAATTATTTCATTTTGTTTAATTATATTTTCATATGTTCGACTCATTGTCCATTGATTCATATTATATTCATCAACTGAAGTATTACGTTCATCATATGTAATAAAAAGTGTTTCATTAGAACAAAAACAACGAAGAAATTCCATATTATTTCGTCTTGGTTTAACTTCTTTTATGAGTTTAATAGAATTTGATGTTGTTAATTCATCATTATCATCATATGTATACAATCGATTATCACCTAATATAATAAATTTATTAAGAAACGATGACCAACAACTATCCCATATTGATTGATCTTCATGCCATGGAATTGTTTTCTGTTGACCTTGAAAATCAACGATCGACAAACGTTTATTTTTTTTTGAATGTTGATAATGAAGAAATGTTGAATTTGGTGATGAAGCAGTTCCTAAAATATGCCATTCAGCACCTTTAACATCTAAACTTATTCGAGGTCGAACTGTTGTTAATCGATCGAAATAAATAGTTCGTTGATTTCTTCCAATTTGTTGTTGTTGTTGTTGTTGTTGTGGTTTATTGACAATGTAAAGATATTTTGTCCAATCAATTGGTACTATTCGAATTTCAGCTGTAGTTAATAATGAATCATCAACCTGTAATTTTAAATCATTTAATTGTGTTGTTAATTGTTGAATACGTGATTCAGTGAAATTATGTGTTTGTCGAGTATGTTGTAATTGTTCAGTTAATTGTTGAAATTCCGTTGTGAATCGATCGGTTGCAATAGTATCTGATCGACGACGAATTTTTTCTCGTATTTGTTCAGCTGTCTCTTTAACTTGACGAATAGTATCAGTTTCCCATTGATCAATTCTATGGATAAGATTTGTATTTTCTGTTAGACTTTCATAGGATGGTGGACGAGAAAGTGTATCTTTTAACGTTGAATATTCAAACATAAGATCATCAAATTGTTGAGTTAAATCTTGTGATGATGAAAATGCCATAGTTTTGAGGTATAATAAAAACGATATCCTTACTCGTCTTGACTTATATATTTTCAATCGGAGAAAAAAAAACAAGAAGAAACGTGGCGCCTACAATACTTTTTATATGTCATAGATAAATACTGTTCTCTTGTCTTCTTTTTTTCTTTTCATCGTTCTGTCTGACGGTCGATGCTGAAAGGAAAAGAGAAAAAAAATGACGACATTTCTTTTTACAATATGAATAAGAAGCAGAAAAGAACGAAGCTCTAGATGTATTTTTCATTCTATCGCGTGGCACATATAATAAAAAAAGAGAGCAATCATACACAAGAGGTTTGAATAGAAGGAAGAAAGAAAAAAAACATATGACACATGATCTAAAATATTTGTCAACCCTGAAACGATGATTAATAATCTGAAAAATAAATATTCAGGATTATAGGACAAAAGTTCATCTATATTTTTGAAAGATGGCTTCTGACTGTACAATCTGAAATTTCGATGATCCCTACCATCTCTGAGGTGAATAATGAGCTTCATGTCTTTCTTTTTGATTCATGTGCAAGCAGAATTTCTCTAGGCTGTCAGTTTTCATCATACCCCATAAAGAATCTATCGAATTTAAGAACAAAATCATGATCGATTACAGGAGAAATGATACAACTTGACATATTCAGTTGAAATTAGTTAACCATTTTATGGACTCTTACTTTTCCCCACTAAAAGATTTATCCACACCAATATGATCAGCAGATTATATAGTAACACTCAAGATGCGAGAAAAATATTATTTTACTTTAAATAAAAACTCACACTTCCATAAAAAAAAGAAAGAAAGCATTGCATATTTAACTAAATTAAATGAGAAACATTCTACATGATAATAAGCAATTGAATCTAATAAATGAACCTAGAAATCATTTTTTTTTATTTTGATATTTTATTCAATACTAAATGAAGTGTATTTTGTATGTTAATCATTGCATGATCCATATCACCAAGTTTTTCTTCAATTTTATCGACTTTTACTTTCATTATTGATAATGTTTGTGTATTTTCACGTATTTTATCATTTGAATCACGTTGCATTACAATTAATTCTGGCATACCAATACAACTATCAATTAATTTCTTTTGATCTTGTTTTAATTGTTGATTAAAATGTATTGAACGAACTAATTCTCTTTGTGCTTTAATATATTCATTCGATATTGGTCGATGTTTTCGTTTTAAATACCAAAGTTTTACGACAAATTTAACAACATTAGCTGCATGAGTTTTTCGTTCTTTAGCTAATTTTATATTTAATACAAAATTATGCACATATTTTTCTGATCGACTTAATTCAAGTTTTTGTGCAAGAACAGATATTAAAAGAGCAGTCGACAATACACCAATCATTGCTATAATTGTAGCTACACCTGCAATAATAGATAAACAACAATTAAATTCTTTTATATTAACTCTTTTCATTTACTTCGTTCGCAATATGTTGCTGGTGTTAGATCTCCATAACCTATTAATAGATTTACTATTTTTTCTAAGTATTTAAAAAAATTTTTACATACCAACAGTAGTAAATGTAACTATAAATAACCACATTGCATCAAGCATAGATATATGTTGTATTGTAGATTGATAATTACAAGCTCGTAATGACCAACTACTAATGATGAAAAGTAGTATACAAAATACAGATAAACAACGTGTTGGCCATTGTTGAATATATGTTTTAAGAAGAAAATAAAAATTAACTGATACTTGATTTAGAGAACCTATTGATTGGGAAAATGCATTATGTACCAAGTATGAATTAAACAGCATGAAACGACAGATTAAATATAAACGAGCAAACACTAATTTTATGTAAATATATTTTTTTTGTTAAAGAATATTTAGACTTACTTGGTAAACCAAGTGCAATATCTATGGTTATATGAGATGGTAAGGTCGAATTGAATGTAGTTGAATTATTAGATTTGAAATTTGAAATAAACGGAAAATATAAAGGCATTGGATGAATCATACAAATAAATGCTTCGAAAAGAATTAGAAATATTCTCGTAGTTGTTAATCCAATACGCCAATGATTAAATGAATTACTAACAGCATAAAGATCCAAATCTAAACGATGATAATAGAAAACAAGTAAAACAAGAATTATAGTTGTAATGGTTATTATTAATTTAATAAACCAAGAAATATATCTATCTTTATCGTTAATATTTAGAAAAATAATTTCATTATTAATAATCATTAGAAGAATACCCAAGAGACCAAGAAAACACATAATATAAGTGATTATATAACTAAAGATAAGAGAAAATTTAAAGAAATAAAATCAAACAATTCTTTTCTTACAGTCGGTTATGTAGTAATTTACGCTTGAGTAAACGATTATTTACATCGGCCATTAAAGTACTTGGAGATATTTGTTTTTTATTCGATAGTGAATCATTAGTTGTGTTATCAGCTATATTTAATAATGGAATTATCGATGAAGTTGATGATGAATTAGGAATTGAAAAAATGGTCGTCATTACGGATGATACTGCACCATGTGCTTCAGATGAAAGAGAAGTAAATAGTGGAGAATTCATTCTTTGTAAATTTTCTTCAAGTTTCAACTTCAGAAATCTAGAGAGAAGTAAATATACATTGTTTTAACTTTATATCATCTCATCGATAACATGCAAAATGCAACAGATATACTTTCTTCCTTTTACTTTCTGAAACGACGTATGTTGTACGATGCATTCAAGTGCAACCTGTTCATCGCACGTGGCATGTCTTTTCTTATTTCTAACAATGATGGAAAAAAAAATTTTAAATTCAACTGACTGTGACGGAAGAACACAAGAACAGAATGTACTTTTTTATTTCCACGTGTATGTAAAACGCAAGAAAAAAATATCAATGGCGACTAAAGATTGATATGAGCACTTTTTTCTATGGTGACCATGATGGGTGGATGTCGATCTGAGTTTGTGTATAAGAAATGTTTTTTAAACTAGCTATGCCACTAAATTTTCAACATTAAAAACTTAAAAATTTTCAGAGTATAATTTTTCAATAAGAAATACCACTTCACTCAACTAAATTCCATACTATTTGGTTAGAAATCTATTGATGAAGAAATGACAAAAATCATCGAATATGTATCCATAATTCAACAAAGAGGAGTTCGTGTTGAACATGCACGATTAAAAAAGAAAAAGAAATTAGTTTCTAAACAGTCAAAAAATGAAGATTATAAAATGTTTTGAAACACCCACATCCACAACCTCAAGATGTAGGTTTTTCAGAAAACCCACTCTAAAAACGATAAATTATAGTGTATTCAAATGTGTAAATGATGCGCTATCTAAATATGGATGAATCTCAAAATCGGTATTTTGTTGTAGAAAAAATGTTTTTTTGACCCGGGAGAGCCTTGAAAACTTTTGTTAGGAAATTAGGAGTATCTCTATCTGAAAATTAGATCATTAAACTCAATCTTTCACACTCTTTCTAATAGTATATTTTGTATTAATTGAACATGAGATAAAAAATATCGATCAAGTTATTATGTATGTTGATCATTCATTTTGTTCAATGCCATTATTACATATTGAATGAAAGAAAATAAGAAATCTCTGCATCAATAAACCTTGATTTTAAATTCTTCGATATGAAATATATGCATATATGTATTTCGTCTAGTTCTCAATCTTTCTACTTGAATTAATGAGACAACATTAGTTAAGATAATGTGGAAAATTAATTATTTGTAAAACAACTCAATAACAATTTTGAAAAGCATATAATAATAAATCATAGGAAATTTCCCAAGGTTAGTATCTTGTCTATTTTACAGTATCATACATATTTGCTGTCATATTACACATCACATAGAGAAACGATTGATAGGTAGTTTTCTTCCTTTTATTCATAAATATAAATTAGTATGTCCTATCACTACTTCGTTCTTTGAACGAATATGAGTAATATAAAAAATATTAGAAAAATATTTTATGCATCATTATCTTAATCATTTTTTTTTCCGAGAAATTATTGCAGACCATAACCGATCATTGTTTATCATGAGTATTTTTAATTATTTCCTATTTATGTTTGATGTTGGTATATATTTCTCCAACTAAATAAAAGGACGTACATTATTTTGTAAACATACAAGATGATGGCATCAACAATACTTTCACTTTCTCAAGTTGGTATTCATGAGAATAACGATGAAATACCTTTCGATAAGCAATCATCGTTCTCTAATCCACTGAGAAATAATCCTATACCTCGACATGCTCCATCAAGGAATACAATTTCATTTCGTAATATAAAACATGAGAAAGGTAATGGATTTTTTTATAATTTCCGTGAATTTTGGTGTGTACCTCCACTTAAACATGAAGAAAAATCAAGCCCAATTCTTGATAATATTTCGGGCATTTTTAAACCAGGACTAAATGCAATTATGGGTAAGAATTAGTTTTTTTGTAAATTACATTGATTATAAAAGAAAACACATGATTATTATCTAGGTCCAAGTGGATGTGGAAAATCTTCATTAATTGATGTTCTTGCTAATCGAAAAACTCCTAAAAGTTTTTCTGGTGAAGTATTTTTGGATGGCCAGCAAATAGATAAGTCATTTAAATATGTGTCTGGTTATGTTGTTCAAGACGATATTCTCATGGGTACTCTTACTGTAAAACAAAACATAATGTTCTCACTTAATACTCGTCTTAGAACTAAGTTACCAGAGAGAGAACGTAGCAAGCTAATCGACGAAGTTCTTATAGCTCTACATATTAAACATCTTGAAAACAAAACAGTAGGTACAGAGCTCACACGAGGTATATCAGGTGGCGAGCGAAAGCGAACATGTATTGCTATGGAATTGATACTTAAACCGAAAGTATTATTTCTTGATGAACCAACTACAGGTTTGTTTCGTGTCAAATATGAATGTAATTATATGAAAATTAAAAATGTGATGTTTATTTAGGACTTGATGCAACAATAGCACAAACGGTCATGAGAATTTTGAAGAGAGAGTGTCAAAGAGGATGTAAGTTTATGAATTTGAGAAAATAAGAATCTAAAGAAGAAATATTTTTCTCCAAGGTACAATTATATTTTCAATTCATCAACCACGTTATTCAATATTCAAATTATTTGATCGAATAGTTTTGATGTGTAAAGGAAAAATTGTTTATAATGATTCACCAAACAATGTCGTACCTTATTTCAATAGACTAGGATTTGAACGTGATCCTCATGATAGTCCACCTGATTTTCTTTTGGATATTCTCGTCGCAGCTAATAGAGATACCGCCGAAAGTAGAACAGCACTTAATACTTTAGTTCGTCAGTATCAGAGAACAAAAACATTTCAACAAATACCTTATGAAATCGATCATCAAATACGATTAGCATTTTTTAATACGACTAATAATAAAAATCAAAATATTAAAAAATCATTTTTTGACGAATTTCGTTATATATCAAAACGAATATTGATAAATACAAAAAAACATAAAAAATTAGTTGTAGTTCAAATATTGGTATCAATATTTATTAGTTTATTAATTGGTCTTGTATTTTTTAATATGCCTAAAACAGTTGATCCAGGTATACAACATCGATTAGGTGCTATATTTATGATTGTTTCAAGTAAAATATTATCAACAGTAACAGCAATTGAACCATTAGTTAAAGAACGTGCTTTATTTATTCATGTAAGTTTCATTAAAACTATTCAAATATTCTATTTGAACGTTTTTAGGAATATACCAGTGGATATTATAGAATTCCGGCATTTTTTTTTACAAAAGTTATTTCGGATATACTTCTATTACGAATCATCCCATCGATAGTATATTCAATAATTGTTTATTTTCTGACTGGATTACAACGTACTGCAGAAAAATTCTTTATCTTTCTTTTTACTATATTCATGTGTAGTTTATTTGGATCTGCAATATGTTTGTACTTTTCCGCACTTATTCATACATTTTGTAAGACTATAAAAATAATATTTTATAAAGAGTACGCATTTTAATTTTATTTGTATATATTTTAGCTACTGCTTTAGTTATTGTGATACTTATCTTCGTAATAATGATGGTATTTTCTGGTTTTATAGTTGATTTATCTGGTGTAAAAGATTGGGTAGCTTGGATTAAATGGTTGAGTGCTTTTCGATATGCATCGAATATGTTAACAATCAATGAATTTCGTGATATAACTTTTTGTTTGGCTAATATGACATCGATTTGTCCAACCAATGGAACGGACATATTAAAAAGTAGAAATATCAATTATCAAACAGATTGGGATAGATGGCAAAATATTCTAGCATTAGCAGCGATGGCTCTGTTTTTTTACGGCATGGCTTTCATTCAACTTAAATTAACGAGAAAGACCAAATAAATACTTTTCAATAATAAAATAGACAAGAATTATTCTATTCATTGTAGGATAAGAAAAATAAAGCATCTTGATGGTGTAGATAAAGAAATAATGATACAATTGAAAATTCTATATGATTCATCATTGACTAAGATCGTAATAACTTATGTGAAACTTCCCACTAGCAAAAAAAGGATAGTATTTCAATGAAAAGGTCAGTGCGAAACTTGATCATCTAAGCAATGAATCAGTATAGATAAGAAATTTTCTCGTTTGTGATTGGTAATTTAGTGCTCTTTCATATTTGATACTATATAAGTCGAATAACAATCAGATTTTATTTCAGTGAATTATCAAGGTATGTGAAACAGTTACTTATGTTTAGTTTTAGTCTTGATCTCTTAACTATTATCTACAGCGTGTATTGTTTTTATATATCAATGTGATGAGTTCTAGTCTGTAAATTAAACCCGGAAATACGAGAACGTTTCAATATTCTGACGGGTGTGTTTATCATTGAAGACCTACTTTTCATAAGATATCTGAATTAATAAAACAACTCTCACTATTCAAATTCTAATGGTAAAATATGTTTATTTTTAGGAAACAAGCTATGAAACAATCAACGATCGCCGTATTTCTTGTTCTGTTTATATTCATTGTATGCAACTCAATGTTGGTCGATGCTCGTGGATGTTGGGGAAGTGGATGGGGTGGTTGCAATGATGGTGGATGTAATTCAGCAGGAGGTTATTGTCAAAATTTTGGGCGGCCACCAAACAATGACTGTCGATGTGTTGGTATACGAAGTAGACATCCACCTCGGCGACCTTTCGGACGGCCTGGATAAACTAAATTTTTCATTTGTTCTAAATACATACTTATTATTGATCTTCAATAAATAAAGTATTTTTAAACTTTTCCATTTAGATCTTAACAGAACTTAAAGGTCATCATATATTCCTCAATTGTAGTGGAGATTGCATAAAAAATACTGTCATGTTGCAACAAATTACTCACTATTATAGATTGACAACTCCATGTGTGTTTACGCATTTGCTAGTTTTTTAAGACAGAATTGTCCTATTTAGACAATTCCTGGTGCATAATTTATAACCCTAACCTCAATCGTATTCATTCAATGAGAAAATCGAAAAGAATACTTCAAGATTTATTCAAGTTGTTGCTCAGATATTTTTCTGAAATAAGAATACAGGATAATGCTAGTATTAATTATTGATAAACGTGAACGGTGATCAAATATTTTCATCATTTCTCAGAATTTCTAAGAATTTCAACCTGACCACATGACTCAGCGTGAAAGCAAAAAACGACCGAAGAACCCCAACATACATGAAAAATATTTCTTTAAGACATGATAATTAAAGTTTTCGACGAAACCAAACTTCATTATTTCGTCTATAATGCCATATAGATAAAGAACGCATTTATTTTTTTCTTATATTTACCTCGTGCGAGTAGTAGAACGACAAAAGCGACTTGCAGTGAGTGAGTGAATCTATCTTAAATCAACTTGACCATCAAAATTTGTTATAATCTCTATTTTAAAACACTTGCAATAGTATCAATCGTTCTTCCCGATGCATTTCTTGTTACATCTAATAAAATGATTTATTAGAACAAAAATGTTTTCTGCGATGATATAAGTACAAAAGAAAGGAAAAAGAAAATCATTTTTTTTCATAAAAGCAAAGTCCATAAAATTAGTTTATACACTCTTATCAGTGTGAAGTTATTATAAGATATTCTGTGTCTAACACTTGCCTATTCAACTTTTGATCATAGAATAAAGCAATATTTTTGTATTTATAACAGTATATTTTATATTATTGTTATAACTTAATTTTCGTATTGCAAAGCTTATTTTAGATATTGAAATAGTGTGCAATATTAGAAGATCATTTTTCATTTTGAAGACAAGAGCATAAACCGAAATATGTATTTAGTCGAGTTTAGATCGGTTCGAAAGTCAAAGAGAACAAAAATACTAATTAAGTTTCGGGTATGGTGTTACATTCAGATCGAAACTGATGACTATTTATGGCATCTAAATTGAGTAGTAAAAAAAGGATTTCTTTCACTATTTTTCTAAATACACAGTCATAAAAATTAATTTCTAACTAAATTTAGTTCTGATTTTATTCGTTATCACTGTAAATACTAGCTGAGTGAGTACTATGTGAAAGAGATCAGGCTCGAGTATGTAATTTTATTTAATAAAATATTAAAACTTGTGCGTATAAAAACAATAGTTGTTCTATAAATTATTAACATTAATAATATCTATTTGCTTGATAATAATTATACGTTGGTCCAGGCATAGGTTGATAATAAGGCTGTGGATTATTATGACCAGATTCGCCTCTTCGATCAATTGCTGATATTATCTTACGTGCAGCTTCGGTAACAAGTTTAATTAGAACATTGCCTACTGCCATACCAGCACCTAGAATACCAATTTGAGCTAACGCTTGTTCCATTGTGTATCGAAGCAATCAATAAAATAATTTTTATAGATATAAAAATGATCCTTTTTTTGCAATTTATCAATATATTTCTAATAGTGTCAGTCACTTATGACGGACGTCGTATATAGAAAAATATTCAATAAATAAAGAACGGCAAGAGACAAAATTACGTGTTTTTACTTTGACAAGCATAACAGCTAATATCAATAGTGATAAATAGACGAAATAAACCTTTTACCGTAATAAATGACTCACTTCATAATAATTTTTCTGTTTACTATCGCAAAAAAGCGCGATTTTTTTTCATTCTTTTTCCCACTTTGATTTTGTGATGATAACAAAGTGAAGAGTAATTTATTTATATTATATCATGCGTTTTAGTGCAATCACTTCCGTTTTCCTCAATAAATATATCATGCCTTGCTGATATAAACAGCGTGATTATTACTAAAAAATTGCCTTCAAGATCAGTATTATAATCAGACTTACCTCAAAATTCGATATACTAATGTAAATGCAATAGCAATACCGACGTACATATTGAGCAGGAAGAAAACAATAAAATGAGACTGTCCAGTTAATTATTTATGTTCTTTCATGAGAATCAATATCTTCTAAATCTTTTCGATTTCAAATATATGATTTTTTAAATAGAAAGTCTTACAAGGGAATGCCACCAACTATCTAACCGCTTTTGAGCTGAAACCTAATGGATAATAACTAATCAGGAGTATTGAATCTGAGTTTCAAAATAGTTTGAGCTAATTCATGACAAAAATATTTTTGTACCAAAAACCTTTTTGAGCCATCCATACAAAAGATCACAACATGAAACTTCATGGAAACTATTTTTTAAATTTCAGTTAAATGATTTGAGAAGATTATTTAGACAAAAACTAGAAATGCCTAGAGAAAAATGCATTCTAAAGAACGATATTAATCCAACTCATTGTAGAAATTTGGATTTCATCTCAAGAGCGATTAAACAGCTAGTCGCGTACACTCGTTAGAGAAAAATCAATAAAGTCATCTGGTGTCCTTCGCAAAGTTTCGCGGAAATTTCAATTATGTGAAAGAGTACAGAAAGCAAATATATATTCGATTGGTAATCTTAAAATAGACTTGGACTGTCTTTGTTGGAAAAAGAACTGATAATGTATTAGTCATAGATTCTGATTCAATGGCAAATAAAAAACAACTCTGATAAGATATGAATGGGGTATATAAACTTTCGAATTATATTCATATTTATTTCATTTACAATGTTTGTTAAGTATATACTACTTGCAGTATTAATTATTGTGAATATTGATCGACAAATCAATTCATAGACGACATGCCAAACAGTGTTGGATTTGATCATTCTTCTTGATGGTTCTGGAAGTATTGGAAGTGCTCCCTTTGCTCAAGCTAAAAGTGTTATGGTTGATTTAGTTAATCGATTAAATGTGGGACCACAGAAAGTACACGTTAGTATACTTCGCTACGCGTCAACTGTTGAAGATTCATATGTATTCAATAAAGTTGGCAGTAATCGAATGAAAGATCAAATAGTTCGAGTTATCAATAATTTACAATATAATGGTGGTGGAACAGCAACTGGTGAAGCAATACAACGTGCAAGAAATGTATGTGATTCAGCATGTCGAAATCAAGAAGAATTGGTACCACGTGCAGTTGTTCTATTTACCGATGGTCAAAGTAATGATCCTAATTTAGTTAGAATACAAAGTGAATTTCTAAGAGAAAATACAAAAGCCGTTGTATTTGCTGTTGGAATTGGAAGTGGTATCAATAATGCTGAATTACAACTAAGTGCATCAACACCATATAGTAAATATGTCTTACATTTGCAAAATTATTTACAATTAACACAAGTTATTAATCAAATAACATTAGTAGCATGTAATGTTCCAGCATTTAACGAGCCAGGTGTAGTCTATAAGAATGAAGTAGATAAAGATACATACCGATTTAATCGAACGAATATAAAAGGCTTACGTTCAGGCTTAGGTGGATTTATGGAAATCGCTGTCAATATCACTCAAGGTAATGTACAAGTATTTACATCAACAACAGAGGCAAATCCAACAAGTGACAATAGTAAGCGAGCAGTTGTTTAATCACATGATGCTAAAAGTACAACTGATATTTATATGGAATACTTACCACCTGATACTCAAACATTTTATTCAAGTTTCAAAGGTATGGCTAATGCAAACCAGTATACATTTGTCTCAAGAGTAGTGGATATTAACGGTGCTGTAATTGGTTAATTGCGAGAAATGATGAATTTTTTTTTTGCTTCGAAATATTTTTAAGCTATATTTATTCTTGAAATAAAATAAAAAGGTTTCGCAAGATCCTTGCGAAACTCATTTTTGCGTGGAGAAGAATTCGGAGTGCTTATCATTCATTTCAACAAAAACTACTTTCGTCTCTGCAGCCACTTTTCTATGAAAAATACATTTATCAGATATAAAGACTTTGGATTACTATCTTATTGTTGCCGAAATATTATATTTTTATGTCATTTGATAGAAAAAAAATCTTCTTTTTTCCTGAAAACATTGAGTGTTGTCGAGAGTATGAGCGCGAGTCGTTATCGATTTTGTCGTGTATGTCAATGCAATACTCATTATACACCTACACTCTCAACGAACGAAAAAATAGATGTTGTCACACAACGTTACTTTTATTGTGAAACATTACAAAAAAATTCGTTTTGTTTTGATAGTAAACAAATGTGAAAGCATTCAATTTCATTCCATCCACGTTTTTGTCATAACAATTTATTTGATGCATTAAATCGTCGTGTTTCTCGTTACGATTTTGATCAAAACATTTCTTACCAAGCGTTCGAATTTTTGTTTATAACACAATATAAAGTATGTCAAAAAATCTTGTCTCAAGTTTTTTGAAATATAACTTGCAGAGTGTATGATGCAATATTTCAACCCAGAAAGTGGGTAATGTCGATAGCACGCGTCTTCTACCGACAGTTATTAAACTCACGAATCTTCAACGTGATCGATAATGAGTAGGGAGCTTAATGAGGCAGTATTGAGTTTTGTATATATATGTCATAGATGAGTTTGAGATTTATCTTAATTTCATAAAATCGTCATATTTCCGCTAATAATAAATTGCATGCAGATTTTAAGTAGAATTTTTATGATGATAGAATATTTCAGGTTACTTAAACCTGATTTTGTTAGTTTTCGTTTTTCATTATATTGCATTTTTTTAATAATGGGGACATTGATTATTGGCTAAAAATGAATTGTTCAGTTTTTATGATAATAAGATTGATTTTATTGATGCAGAATAATATGATAAATATTCGAGAGTTTTACGTAAGGTTTTTCTTTCTTCTGTGATTGAGATTTTGTAGGTATTTGGTAGAATTGGTTACATAAGAAAAAGATATGTTTATTACGTGCGATGATAAAATCAAAGAAAGAAATATGACAAACAGATTTTAAAATTTACGATCACATTCGAAAAAAAAAATTAAATAAACGTAAAGCAACAGAGACGTGCGATTGTGTATTATTTTCTTTTTAAATATTTCCATCGAATAATAATATTTTAACTATAAAAATAAAACACATCAATTTATCTAATTAAAAATGTCGCCATAGCTTATGTTTAATTATTATATGTTTCATAGTAATGAACCTTGATAAATAGAATACAATTCATTTACACAAGCGACATAAACATTTAATTTAGTAGATCTTGTCAAAACTTTTTAATATAGAAAATTTATGGAAATAATAATTTTATGGAAACTGCGTAATAATATATTATAAGACAACCAATTATTTTATATCTCTATAACGCCAAACGTCGAATAGATGAATGTATATAATAAATGACGAGCACAGAAAACAAAATATGGTACAATGAGTTCGCCTAATTTTTTAGTCGTTATTTTTAATGTATGTTTTTTTTCTGGAAGCTACTATACAAATAATCTATTTTATCCTAATAGAAAAATCTTTTTCGATATGTTTTTCTTTTAATTATTTCGCGCATTCCAAACTCAACTGCATCCTGAATAAGTTTCTTTTGTTTAGAATATTTTCAGTTTAAACTATCTCATTAAGATAAGTGATGGCTTCGAAACACATTACCAAGAACAATAATTACACCACTGTTAGAAAAAATACGGATGCAGGTAAACGTAGTACAACTACTGGAGCTACTTCTATTATGAATAAATCAAATAAGGATAATACTCAACTTAAAGCGACAAGTACTGTAACGAATATGGACCCACCAACTAAAACTGATATGTATAATCTTCAATCAGCTGAAGACATTTATTATCCTTCAATTCAAAGTACTCAATTGAATAAACAAAATGAATTAGTTGCAGTTCCCTATACTGACCGACTATTAGACATTATGAAAAAACATGGCCTTATCTGTAAACCTACTCGAGAAGGTCATCAGCTTACTCTTCACGTTGAGAATCCTGATACAGAACTAATTATTTGTACTGGTGTCTCAGAAGATGAACAAGTATCAGAAGCATGTAAATGCAATAAATATTTTCCTCCTCAGTTTGAAATATTGGGGAACATATGTAATTTTTGTAATCATTCGTTCCGTTTTCATCGAGTAAAACCGGAACTGGAACATATTGAATTCGATGATATGAAAAGCGAAACGAAACGAAATGATTATAAATATTGGTTTGATAAATTTATTGAATTACAACGGCTTTATTGCTGTGCGACGAAGAATTTTTCCTTCGATAACAACCTATTTATTAAGATTTATGGCAAACCACGACAAGCAGCATTAAGTTTTATTCAGAGTCCTAATTATCGATATGTTCTAATCAAGTATGTTTATGATGGTGTCTATGATGAAGGTGAAACTTTGATTGAGACGAAATATCAAATCATTAGTTTACAAACAATGCAACCAATTAAGACAGATGATCAATTACAGCATTCATGTTCATACTATCGTGATAATACTCAAACTGACACTGGCTTTCGAACTATTTTATGGGATTTAAATCAACCAGCAACATTAATTGCAACAGAGGTATTCAGTGATAGATCATATCAAACTTTTGTCAAGCGAATCGTAAATATACAATGTCCAAGTATCGATCAGAAATAAATGACAGTATTTTGAAGACAATTTTCACACTGCGCTATTTGTGACTTTTTCCCTCACAAAACTATACACTCTGATTAAACATTACCATGCACGACTCTATAGGTTCTTTCACTGAAACCATATCCGAAGGTTTCGGATTCTTCTCCTTTGAAATTGTCACCATTTTTATCAGTATCAAAATATCATTATATAACAGAAATTTTTTCTGATTGAAATGATAGTGGTTCTAATGATTGATTGACAACCGGCTATTGATCTTGAAAAAGAAACTCTCATCATGCCGTCGATATCCTTTTAAGTGATAAGTACCCAAAAACAGAGTCACTAGATAAAGCATAAAATTCAACTTGAAGAAGATATCGATCCGAATATTAATCATGTAGTTGTTCCATTATCACAGTATCAATCTCGACAACGAAGAAATCTTTATGAATACGGCTGTTATATTTTTTCAATACAAAATTCAATAAAACGACCATAACTCTTCGCTAATAAGCCATCAGTTTGAATACATCTAAGCTTTGTACTATCCTAATGTCCTCTATTAAACAATGGATGAATGAAGAGGAATCGGTGTTGGATACTTCGGGTGAATCCCTCGTCAGTACGATATTTAGTTTAACCTGTATTTCTATTGATAAATGTTATGCAGAATTTGATGAGTTCATATTGATCATTACGAATTTAGTTTACGAAGATTTCGAAGTAACTCTTCATGATGAACGGATCGATCAACTTTATTCATCATTTTGAACAAAACAAAAATGGCATTTTAGAGTATGCATTGATACAACATTTATTCTAAATCCTCAGACAGGTAATTTTAGAAGAAACATTTTTATAAATACTTTTTTTTCTTTTTCTTATAGAAAAACTTTAGCTGAAGGTATAAAATTAATAGCAAAAAATCTATTCGTGATGTGAACACGACGACTCTATTTTGTCCTCACTAGTTCTTTCTGAAACTAATAAATTGACTACTGGCGTTCTTCCTCGTGTCAATAATGAATTATATTTTAGCATCGCTGTAGATCTCATTTTACGTTTAAGTATCGATTACACGTTGGAAGATGTTAATTGGTTCATTTATTGATATTATATTACTTTTAGTATATTCTAAATGCCAACAATTCAAGATGAAAATAATTTCAATATTTTTTAGAAAGAATAATCGATTTAATAGTATTTGGTTGAAAAAGAAAAAGAAATCTCATTACGAGAATGTTCAACCATTAGTTGGATTTGTTGTTGACGCTAAATATTTCAATATCTTGTACTGGATCATTAATAATTGATACATCTGAAAAAAGATTTGTTGGAAATAAAGAAAATAAAGATGATATTGGATCCATTGGCATATCATCTCTTGAATCTATCTGAAGACAGTTTTGATCAGTAGTATTGGTAATTGGATTATCAAACACACTTAAATCACTATTTGTATCAAACATATTCAAAGTAATATCTAAAAAAATTGATAGAAAGAAAATTTAATATATATGTGGATGTTTGTATTTTTTATAAACCTTCTATATTCGGATTTTGCATTTCATCTGAAGTCAGTTGATTATTTGAATGTTTGACACGATATTGATTAATAAATTCAAGAATCTCATCAATAACTTGAATTTCTTCTTGACAAATATTAATTTCATTTTGTTTAATTCTTCGACATTCAGTTAGTTTTTCAAAGATAGTTTTTCGATAAGTTTCATCTCGAAGATGAGTTAAAAATGACTACGATAAATAAAAATTCTTATTAAAAGTTTTTACTTTAAAACATGAACATACAGTTATTTCATTTTTAGCAGACGAAGAATTGCTTTCTTGATCATTTAATATTGATGAAATTGTTGTTGTTGTTATCATTGAAGGAAGTAGTACTACATCAGCTGAGTTTAAAATAAAATCAATTTCAATAGGACTATACATAAAGAATGTACACGTAAACATCACATTGCTCAAATTGAATTATCTTACACGAACACACTCATGTAGGTACAGTTAGGGACAATTCATTTAGAAGTGTATTCCAAATAATGTATGACATAAAAGTCTTCGCATAACATATTTGTTTAATATTCGACAGCGTTTAACTCATATGAAAAAACTGCTCAGTGAGATATATGTAATCGAAAATTGAACAAACATGTTGTACAATAGCTCAATCTATTCAAGAAAAAGGAAGTTTGAAAAAATCGTATCAATAACTAATATTAGACAAGAAAGGGTACATAATCCTAAGATTTTCTAATAAATATATATATATATCTACTATTTGAATTATTTGCTGGAATATGAATCGGCCTTTTTGCTAATAGTTGTTGTAATGAATGACTAATAAAAAATTCTTTTGTTTTAAAAAATCGATATTTCTTAATAAGAAATATCTATTACCATTGAATAATATATGTTGTACAAATATAACTTTCCACTTTTCCTGTCCATGTATTAATATGTGCTTGTGAAGATGTTTGAAGTAAAATCCATTGGTCATCTTTTGTTAGAAATCTATATGGTTCACTTTTCTCATTTCCATTTTCTTTCCCTTAGAGAATTTAAACAAGTTTTTATATTTAGCACTCAATTATCTTACATAATTTATAAGCTCGAACAATAACTGATAAATCATCTGGATGGACAAAATCAAAATAAGTACGTCCAATTAATTCAAATGCATCATAACCAAGCATTTGTCGAGCCCTAGAAATAAACATATAAATGAAATGTCTTTAAATTTTTTTCCTCAAACTTTGAATCGATATAAACAAATTTTCCTTGAGTATTTAAATAAGTGATAAATTCTTCTATTGGATAATCAGCATTCATCTTTAACATTCGATCTAATGTATTTATTTTAACAATCGACATAAAATATTTCTCATTTTCATTAACTAAATAAAATCAAAATCATTTATACAAGTCATTTCTGTTTTGTTTTACTTGTTCGATATGCACCAGTCAATGTACATTGTTCATAATCATTATCAACTGCTCGTTTCCATGATATATCACATGTTTGTAAAACTTTAAATATAAATAAAAAATAATGGTGAATTTTTTCTAAATAAAAAAACCTTGATGATTATTTAGAAGATAGACAAGTAATTGATCATGATGTGATGGAAGAATAAAGTCAAATAATGAATGATTAATCAGTTCATCTTGTGAATAACCAAAATATGAATGAATATTCTTTGATACATAAACTATTTTATGAAGATTTAAATCAAGTTTAATAACAAGAAAAAAACAATGCATTGACTAAAATTAGAAAGAAAGGAATATATATGTTTAATTAGTTTTGTTTATTTAATGATACTTCAATAGCTAGTTGTAACCATTCATCAATAGACGTTATATCACAAGGTGGTTTCCAAGAAAATTCAACAATAGAATTTGATGATGAAGAAGAATTTTGTAACTTTGGTAGAACTAATTTTGTTTTATTTTTTATATCTAAATTATTCTTTAATTTATATTTTAATATATAACTATATGTTTTACTTTGTTGATATTTTTCTAAAAAGGTCACAGTTTGACGTAAAACTGAAGCTTTATCTAATTTCGTATTTTCTTCATTTGTATCAGAAGTGTTTTCAATGAAAAGTATATCTTTTAGATTTGTTATTAATTGTGTAGATAAATCACGACGACGTTTTTCATTTTCATTACGAAATTGTCTTAAAAATAAATTCTTTAATAAGAAAAATGCTATTTAGTTTTAATACCTTCTTGCTAATAATTTTATAGCATTATTTCTAAATAAAAAAGATTATTAGTTTTCAAAATTCTTCTAATTTAAAAAAATTACTTTGAATATATTCGTTTTAATTTATTCGTATTTCTATTCATAGTCAAATATATCACGTTTTTACCAACTGAACTTATTAATGAACACGTGCAGCAACTGTAAAGAAAAAAAGAATAACCATATATCCATCGTAAGGAAGAAAAACGAAAAGTAACAAGACATTAAACAACAGACGAGAAATTGAAAGAAAGACAAATGGTCTGTCATATACTTTGTTACATACGACCTCGAATGTACATATACTAGATGGTAGATTGTCGTTTCGTCGAAAAAATGATCGTCTAGCGGTCTATACTTCAAAGCATATCAAAGAGTGTGGGTGGGGGGAAGGTGTGACTTTTCCACGAAACGAAAACTAAACATACTAGATTATGAACAAATCTTGTTAATATTATATTGAAAATTTTGAATTTCTTTAGAAAATATTTATCAGATGTTTTTTAATATTGAATAGATATTAATACAAATAAAAACAATCGATTATTTGATTTTTTTTCAGATAAGAAATTAAATATTTTGACTTAGGATTGATTCATAGAAATAATTTCTTCGAAATTTTAATTTTCTGATTAATTAGAAGTTGAATAATTTATATAATAATTCAAATTACCATATTATTATATATTGATCTCGAAAAATCTATAAACTATTCAAATTATTGTGATAAAATTGATAAAAGTAATTGGATAGATGTCATGATATTGTAGTAAAAAAAGGCGTGAAATATTATATTTATGAGTGACTAATTTTTTTGTACGTTACATATCTTTACATTTACAACGATGAAAATCAACTCATAGAATTAGTTATGATAGTAATACACATTTCAATATTCTTTATAATAGTCTTTAATTTCTAATTTATTTATTTTTTTAACAATTATGTTATCAAATAATCTTTATAAAAATTTTCAATTACATAAAATAATCTTGAATATTTTTCAATTATTTCTTGAGGATGCGGATCTGGGTCTGGGTGGATGAGTGTGAGCGTTAATGCTTACTACGTCCATGCCAACCCGCATCCTCAAGAGTATCTTCTTCATAGACCACACCCATCAAACATTGTCGAAAAGGTTTTTTAAATATATAAATACACAACAACAGTTGAATAGCATCGAATTATTCATAGCAACTATAGGTAATCTATCAATTTACGAGCGAGCTTTTCTGTCGTCCATCGAGAAGACTCAAGTTAATATTCGATGGATGAATACTGTTGAACAAGACATTAGTGCTTAGCTCAGTAATTATGTTGAAACAGATTAGAAGACTAGAAAACTAATAAGACCAATGTGTTTATATTCATAAAACTACAGAAAGAGTATAAATGAATTAAGAACATAAAAACTTCAAGCTTCATTAATGAGAATGTGAGATAATATCCTTTTTATTTTCTATCATCCTCACCTTCTTGAGGGTGAATGTGAACGAATAAAATGAATATTACATATATATATAATTTATTATAAAGAAACAAAAATACAAACATGAGAATTAATATATTTGTTTAATGAACAATTAGATATGTTCCTCGGAGTCTATCTGTGTATCACGTGTTTCTAAATTGTTGTCCGGTTCAATTCGATTATTTATGAAGCAACACCAATATTTGCATCGTTGCCAACATTTTTTTACTAGAATAAATTTTACTTGATGACGAAAACGTGATGAGAATATTAGAAAAATATAAAAGTTGATCTAAAATAAATCAAAATCTTACAAATATGATTTTTTTTAGCAAAGAAAATAATTTTACAATATAATTTGTAGTAAGAATGGAGAGAAGAATTGCTTGAATCAATCGACCAATTGCATATGCCATACGCACACTTGGTGATATGGGAAAATTAATGGCATAAATACGATAAGCATTATAAGGTAGCGTTAAACAAATGAAGGCAATTACACGCATAAGAACCATTGCTGTTATTTGTTTCTCTAATTTACGACGAACAACTGGTAATTGTCGGCGAACTAAATGACGAACATTACGATAAGCCAAGACACTAAATGATGATGCAATTACAATAGGTAGAAAACCTATTAATATTGGATAAAAGAAAAATGTTGAATACTTCATCCATACATAATTCGATATGACACATCCCAATATTGGCTGAATATCATAAGAAGAGCCAAGTGCAATGCTATGAATGATCGCAAAACAAATGCATATAAACGAAGCATATCGACCTAATTGCAATGTGCACATTTGTCTTAAATTGTAACGATGATTTGTCGAAAAGAATTGATCAACAGCAGAAAAACATATCATATAACAAGTAGTGAGCGCACATATTTGTACCAATATATATCTTAATTTACACCAAATTGAAGAACGTTCTGTTGCATCATCTCCATATATTGTTATTAACATAGTTAAACTAATGGAGAAAAATTGATAAATTAAGTTGGAAATTGATTCAATAGTTATATAGAAGGTGCATCGATTAGTTCGAAATAGTTTCAATTGAGTAAAAACAAGAAGATTCAACACATTACCAATAACTCCAAAACTAAATACAATAAAACCACTATAAATCGAGTATTGTGTAGCAAATTTGAGAATTCCGTCAGAGACTGATGACGATGACATGTTATTTTTTTCAGAATGGCATATTCTTTATTATTTGTGCTTTTCTTTTTTTCCAGACGATCTAAAACGTAATATAAAAAAAAGTTAATCTATTCTTGTCATTTATTAGTTATAAAGCATCTTAACAGAGATTACTGTGATGATTGATAATAAAAGTCTTTAACTACTACTATGACATATTATGAATATAAAATATAAAATTAGAACTAAATAAACGAATACTTGAATTTATCATTAGAACTATTCGTAATTTGTATAAAATAAAAAAGAATGATGTTTTTTCTCTGCACCACCAACACATAAATAATAAAAAGAGAATGTATGTTCATCTTTCATGTCATTAAACTATTTAATTAAACAATAATGCATTTATTGAACACGTGACACGTGTTCTAATTCATCTGCGTAATACATTGCCAGTAGTCTTTTAAGATATTAAATTTCATTTTCTCTTCAATAAAGATTACAGTTAATGAAGATGTCGAATATTTTGTGTTCTACAGTTAATATTTAATAGGATATATTTATGTTACATATCTTCTCACTATAAAATAATAATCGAACAATGAGACAATTTTAAATTAGTTATTCATTTATTCTTATTCTTAAACCTTTGACATATATCTTAGTAACATTCATGGAAACCATCTTGAGGGTGCGGATGAATGCGTGGAATGAATATAGTACCATACTCACACCCTCATAGGTTTAGAGCATAGTGATTAATAGAAAGTTTCGAACACACTATGTGTATCTGCATGTTTTATGATCATTTTGTAGCTCTCGATCGCCACGATCTTCGCTGAAAAAATGGCGATTTTCTAGAGACGTCGGTTTATAATTCTAAGTAGCGCCAGACTATCAAACCTAGTAGTTCACCTATCGATGAGCATTGTGAGAGATAGTTCGATCGTCAGTTCACTTTTTTTCCTCATAAAAATATATTCATAAGAAAGACCAAATGAAACTGTATATAAAGTATAGGTGTCACAATGGATCGAAACTCCTTTATGAAACTATTTTATATGAACTTTTGTAAGTAGTAAGAAATTGCGGGTGTGGGTGTGGATGTCTCTCTTTTGTGGCTCCATTCACATCCACACTCACCCGCACATAGTTATGTTAATATTCTGATATTATTTAGGTATTAGTATATATCACTGTTCCAAATTTAAAATTACCAGACAATATCAATTGTTCGTCAAGAATCAGATCAACAGCCATCTTATGAGTGTGAATGATGGATATAAAGAAGTCTCTTTCAACAGAATCGCACTCACACCGACTTGCCATAAAGAGATTTTTGCCATTTAAAATTCTGAAGAAAGAAACGTTTAATGAACTACAAATACATTTTATCGAATAGTATCGAAAGTAAACAAATAGATTCAAAATGTAAAAGAAAGATCTTTAGTCAATCATTAAAACATATGTTGTGAATTCTATTAAATAAAGGCTTTTCAATCATATTCATTTTATCATTTGATCGAAATAGATCTATAACGTCAGATACATCGATCTAATAAAAATGTCAAAAATGATTTTAATTCAGTTTGCAGATCTACGTACTTGTTTCTATTCGAATGATGAAAAGAAAAAATGCTATAATCTATCTAAAAATCGAAAAAAACGATAGTCGAAATTTGGTATTCAGATGAACATAATAACTAAAAAATGTATAATTTATTTCTATGACGTAGATAATCGCATCTAGTCTAATAAGAAATCGAAATAAGTGATGTAAGATAAAATAGTAGAATAACTTGAAAGTAATAAAGTCAAAATAAATATAAAGAACGAATTTTATATGTATATAAGAAAACATGAAAAATAAAATAAAAATAGAATTTTCGACCTTGTCAGAATCATGAAGTCGGTCATTATCAGTAATACCAGAACACCAAGAACACATTAAGTATTAAATGATTAGCTATGTTATACTGACGATGACCGACTTCACGATTCTGACAAGATCGAAAATTCTATTGTTATTTTATTTTTCATGTTTTCTTATATACATATAAAATTCCTTCTTTATATCTATATAATTTATCGTTGCACTGCACTTTATATCTATTTTGACGTAAGATTATTTCTATAGTTATATTTATACTGAATAATAACGGATTAATGACGATTTCTATACGTCATAGGTATATATACATATATCGTATTATTTTCTACATCATTTAAGATAAAGGTAAATCGACGAATAAAAGTATTATTATAACAAATCTCTCTTTTGTCCCTTTAACCAACGCATTTGAAAAGACTGACTGTTCTTTTTTGGATGTTGTATAAAAACCATTGTTTTTTCGTTGTATCGTTATTATTCTTACGATCACGTACATATTGTGAATTAAACATAACTCTATAAATGATTCGTAAGTAGAACCTAGGTGAGTACTTTCATTTGAGTGATACTGATGAGATTGATACATGAATCAAGAAGAAGAAAAACCTTTCTTTATTTTACCATAATTATTTGAACAGTTTCTAGATTTTTCGAGGTCAATATAAAATGATATATGGTAATTTAAATATTCTATACATTTTATGTTTTTGATTAATTAAAAAATTTAGAATTTCGAAGATATTATTTTACTTTATTCATAAATAAAAAGAAATAATAAATTATTTCTATAAATTAATTCTAAATTAAAATGTTTTCTTTTTCTTTTTATCTACATTAATATCTATTCAATATAATAAAATATCTGATACATATGTTTTTAAGATATTCTAAATTTTCGAAATAATATTAACTAGATTTATTCATGGCTTAGGCATATTCTTCTATGTATAAACATATAAGGCCATGTGTACTCGACAAAATGATTAAGAATTTATCTTTCCTTAATGTTTTTTTGAACTTATACTGTGTAACGCATTGTTACTTTTCGTTTTTCTTTCTGTTCCTATGATTCTGATTCTTTTTTTTCTCTTTTTAGTTGATACGTGTGCACATTAACGATTGTGTTCGGTGCAAACGTTTGATACTTGACTATGAATCGAAATACGAATAAATTAAAACGAGTACGTTCAAGGTAACTTATAGGTTTTTTTATTAGAACAAATTTTAAAAATTAACTATATTTATTATTTAGAAAAAATAATATTGAAACACCAGCAAAAAGGTATTAAAACTAAATAAAATTTTTATTATTGAAGAATTTGTTTTTTTAAGACAATTTCTGAAAGAAACTGAAAAACGTCGTCGAGATTTATTTGCACAATCAATAACAAATTTAAGAGATATACTTTTAATTCAAAAACCCTCTGATACAAATGAAGAAAATACAAAGTTAGACAAAACTTCGATTTTATGTCAAGCTGCGACGTTTTTAGAAGAACATAAACACAGTAAAATACAATCTTTATAACGGGTGTGGCAAAAATTTTGCAACATTTTGGTTTCACATATATGTTGGCTTGCGAAAATGACAGCATCTTGATTTTTCTTTTAAAAGATGCGGTACGGAAAGCTCTACAACAGTTGTACAAAACAATTCCGTATTAGTACACAAAAAGTCTTGCACATATCTTTCCGATGGCGAAAAGTAGCATTAACATACGGCTTTCTCATTTAGATTACAGGAAGAACCATTAGAACAAGTCACTACGAGTTTCTTTATGAAATTTTTGTCGAGCTTTTCACGGCCCATCTTTTGAAAAAAAAATTAAGATTTTCTTATTCTCTCAAGCCGATGTATATGCGAAACAAAAATTGTTGCAAAACTTTTGCCACACTAGGTATATATATATTAAAATATAAATTAAAGAATAATTTAGATTTAACTAATGAGACAAAATCAGTCATATCAAATATGCAAAACCCTTCTCGTTTATCATTACATTCTATTCTTGAATTTTCTTGGAAACCACCTTTTGATATAATTTCTGTTGATGAATGGTTACCAATAGCTGTTGAAGTATGATTAGATAAACAAAACTAATTATTTATATATTCTTTTTTTTATTTTTAGTCAATGCAATGTTTTTTTTCTTGTTATTAAACTTGATTTAAGTTTTCATAAAATAGTTTATGTATCAAAGAATATTCATTCATATTTTGGTTATTCACAAGAGGAGCTTATTAATCATTCATTATTTGACTTTATTCTTCCATCAAATCATGATCAACTACTTGCCTATCTTCTAAATAATCATCAAGGTTTTTCTTTTCTTTTTCTTTTTTATTTAAACAATTCAAGATTATTTTGTTAGTCTTACAAACATGTGACATATCATGGAAACGAGCAGTTGATAATGATTATGAACAATGTACATTGATTGGTGCATATCGAACAAGTAAAACAAAACAAAAATGATTTCTACAAATTATTCTGATTTTGTTTAGTTAATGAAAACGAACAATATTTCATGTCGATTGTTAAAATAAATACATTAGATCGAATGTTAAGGATGAATGCTGATTATCCAGTAGAAGAATTTATCACTTATTTAAATACTCAAGGAAAATTTGTTTATATCGATTCAAAGTTTGAGAGAAAATATTTAAGGACATTTCATTTATATGTTTATTTCTAGGGCTCGAGAAATGCTTGGTTATGATCCATTTGAATTAATTGGACGTACTTATTTTGATTTTGTTCACCCGGATGATCTCCCAGTTATTGTTCGAGCTTATAAATTATGTAAGATAATTGAGTGCTAAATATAAAAACTTGTTTAAATTCTCTAAGGGAAAGAAAATGGAAATGAGAAAAGTGAACCGTACAGATTTTTAACAAAAGATGATCAATGGATTCTTCTGCAAACATCTTCACAAGCACATATTAATAAATGGACAGGAAAAGTTGAGAGCTATATTTGTACAACATACATCGTTCAATGGTATCTGTTATTTTATTATGAAAATATAAAGAAATTTCTTTTTTAGTCATTCATTACAACAACAATTCGCAGAAAGACCAATTAATATTCAAACAAATAATTCAGATAGTAAATATATTTTCAATAATTACTGTTTCTTTTCTCTGGGAAACCTAATTCTATTATAGATCTTACAAAGGAAGGTAATCTAAACATGATACTCTTAGAATTTTAGAATAGAAATATTAAAAATTTTGAAATTCAAATAAAATTAAAAAAATATTCATTTAAGAATTATATTATCTTTTTATTGACTATAAATTCTCTCAAGACTACTATTATGTGTACGTGATAATCATAATGATATAAGATTATTTAACTAAATGTCTTACGATTAAGAATATGAATGTAATCATTTTGATAAGTAATCATAGGTCATATTAGTTTTATTTCTAATTCGTCTTTCGACGACGTACAACTCACTGGATGTATAGCGAGAGCATAAAAAATTTATTTTAACTTCCTACTACCCTTTTAGTTCTCATCAGTGAGTTAAATGTTGTCGAAAATTTTCATGTCATAGATTATTTGAAACATATTTATCAATGAAATATCTGTAAGTGATTAGATATTTATTTGTAACATTCTTTACCTATGATCCTTCTGAGATAATAACAATAAATACGAATATTGAAAATGATGTTATTTTAGATTCAGCTGATGCTTTACTATCGCCTTCAATGATAACAACTACAGCACAATCATCATCATCAATAACAACAACAATTTCATCAATATTAAATAATCAAGAAAGTAATTCGTCGTCTTCTGAAAATGAAATAACTGTATGTTTATGTTTGGGAGAAAAAATTTTTAATAAGAATTTTTATTTTTCTTAGCCATTTTTAACTCATCTTCTAAATGATATTTACCAAGAAGCTATCTTTAATAAATTAACTGAATATCGAAGAATTAAACAAAATGAAATTAATATTCGTCAAGAAGAAATTCGAGTTATTGATCATGTTCGCCAGTTTGTTAATGAATATCATATTAAACATTCAAATAATCAACTGATTTCAGATGAAATGAAAGATTCAAATACAGAAGGTTTATAGAAATACAAACATTTTCATTTATTAATTTATTTTTATGTTAGATCTTGCTTTAAATATGCTCAATAGAAATAGTGATATAACTTCATCAAAGAGTTCAATAACAAATACTACTGATCAATATTGTATTCAGATAGATTCAAAGGATAATATGCCAGTGGATCCATTATCGTCTATATCTTCTTCATTTCCAACAGAACCATTTTCAGATATATCAACTACGAATAATCCAATACAGGATACTGAATATTTGACATCAACAACAAATCCAACTAATCATTGAACATTTTCATAATAAGGTTTCTTTTTCTACTAGGAAATATTAAATTTACCTTTGAGCAAATTAAAAAAAACTAATTTAGATATTTTTTGTTCCTTTTTTGCTGAGCTCACTTCGTGTATTCAACTATATTGTAAATAAATAGAACATTACATATACCTCTTTTCGGATTATTAGAGTGATCTTTAATTATCAGCATTTAGAACATACGAAAAGTAATATAATATCAACCCTAGAAAATCTTATAGAACACTAGAAAAGATTTTCTGTCTGCATGTATGCTGATAAATGAAATTGTACCTCATATGATAATATCATATAAGTATTGTTTCGATAGGTAGAATTTTATTGCTAAAAGTACAGTCGAGAGTTTTCAACGAAAAGCAGAGCTTTTAATCCCTGTTTTTCATAAATGAGAAATACTTTTATTTCTATACTATAGAGCATACTGTACGTCATATATCAATTAATACATATCCATAATGGATTATACTCTATTTTCGAGGATTAAGTTTTACTTTTCAAAACTAGTCAAAATCAAATCATTTTGCGAAGATCGAAAAGATTCTGTACGATAAGAGGTAATGAATTATGATTTTTTTTACAATCGTGTACTGTTCGAAAATCATTTAATACTACCTGAGTAATACGTAGAAATTCTCCAATGATAGTATAAGTTACTTTTATATAGTCTCTTTTAACGTTAGATGAATTTCACAGGTTGTATTGTTAAGTTGTAGGTCTTGACTTCAGCTGTAACGTTGCTCTAAAGGTCATTGTTTATGAACTAACTTATGAAATAATTTGAAGTGTAGCATACACATAATTCAGTGCGCGAATAATATCGAATAAAGTTATAGCTGCCGTTCAGATCTATAACTTAGCAATATAATATCCGATCAGATGTATTAGCCTACTGAAAAACTTACTCAACACTAACAAAGTATATGGAACTAAGTCTGCATATGATGTGACAGACAAAGAATGAAAACTATGAATGTAATTTAAAATAAAAAAAAAATGGGACTTTCATAAATTATAAAGTTAAGTTGTTTGAATTCATCTTCATTTATTTTATCAATTCGATTGATTAGAAATCCATCTTATAATTTTAATCATTCTCCATTCATTATTTCTTTTAGATGATCATGAAATATTTTTAAAAATAAAAAGGGTGTTGGTGTGGGTGTTGATACTGTATTCACCCACACTCACACCCTCGTTTCAGAGAAGTGATTTAGTCAAATACTGATCGATAGGAACAACTGATTTCACAATATTTACTTCATTTACAGATAACTAAATTTAGATATCCAGATTTGAAAGTAACTCTTTATCATGAACGGATCGCTCGACTTTATTCATCACTTTAAACAAAACAAAAATGGCATTTCAAAGTTTACTTCAATACAAACGACTGACTGGATGATATAGTCGTTTATTCTATATCATCAGACAGGTAATTTTAGAAGAAATCTTTTTATAAATACTTTTTTTTCCTTTTCTTATAGAAAAACTTCAGCTGAAGGTAACATAAATAATAAAAATTCTATTGGTGACGTGAACACGATGAATCTATTTTGTCCTCACTAGTTCTTTCTGAAACTAATCAGTTCACTATCGACAATCGTCCTCATATTAATAATGAATCATCCTTTAGTATCGCTATAGATCCTATTCTACGTTTAGGTATTGATGACATGTTAGAAGATTTTAATTGGTTCGTTTATTGATATTATATTACTTTCAGTATATTCTAAATGCCAATAATTAAAGAGAAAAATAATTTCAATATTTTCTAGAAAGAATGATCGATTTAATAGTATTTGGTTGAAAAAAAGAAAAAGAAATCTCATTAAGAGAATGTTCAATCATTAGTTGGATTTGTTGTTGACGCTAAATATTTCAATATCCTGTAATGGATTATTCGTTGTTGATACATCTGAAAATGGTTCTGTTGGAAATGAAGCAGATAAAGATGATAATAGATCCATAGGCATATCATCTCTTGAATCTATCTGAAGACAGTATGGATCAATAGTATTGGTAATTGGATTATCAAACACAGTTAAATCACTATTTGTATTTAACATATTTAAAGTAATATCTAAAAAAATTGATAGAAAGAAAATTTAATAAATACATACACTTCTATTTTTTATAAACCTTCTGTATTTGGATTTTGCATTTCATCTAAAGTCAGTTGATTATTTGAATGTTTAATATGATATTGATTAACAAATTGAAGCATATCATCAATAACTTGAATTTCTTCTTGACAAATATTAATTTCATTTTGTTTAATTCTTCGACATTCAGTTAATTTTTTAAAAATAGCTTTTCGATAAGTTTCATCTCGAAGATGAGTTAAAAATGACTACGATAAATAAAATTTCTTATTAAAAGTTTTTACTTTAAAACATGAACATACAGTTATTTCATTTCCAGCAGACGATGAATTGTTTCCTTGATTATTTAATATTGATGAAATTGTTGTTGTTGTTGTTGTTATCATTGAAGGAAGTAGTACTACATCAGCTGAGTTTAAAATAAAATTAATTTCAATAGGATTATACATAATGGATGTATAAGTAAACATCTCATTGCTCAAATTGAATTTTCTTATACTAACACACTCATCTAGGCACAGTTATGGACGATTCATTAAGAAATATATTCCAAATAATCAACGATGTAAAAGTCTTTGCATAATATGTTTGTCTTGATATTCGGTAGCGTTTAACTCATATGAAAAAACTGCTCAGTGAGTTGTATGTAATCGAAAATTGAACAAACATATTGTACGATAGCTCAATCTATTCAAGAGAAAGAAGGTTTCAAAAAATCGTATCATTAAATACTATTAGACAAGAAAGGGTACATATTCTTAAGATTTCCTAATAAATATATATATATCTACTATTTGAATTATTTGTTGGAATATGAATCGGTCTTTTTGCTAATAGTTGTTGTAATGAATGACTAATAAAAAATTCTGTTGTTTTAAAAAATCGATATTTCTTATTAAGAAATATCTAGTACCATTCAATAATATATGTTGTACAAATGTAACTTTCCACTTTTCCTGTCCATGTATTAATATGTGCTTGTGAAGATGTTTGCAGAAGAATCCATTGATCATCTTTTGTTAGAAATCTATATGGTTCACTTTTCTCATTTCCATTTTCTTTCCCTTAGAAAATTCAAACAAATTTTTATATTTAATACTCAAATTATCTTACATAATTTGTAAGCTCGAACAATAACTGCGAGATCATCTGGATGAACAAAATCAAAATAAGTACGACCAATCAAATCAAATGGATCATAACCAAGTATTTGTCGTGCTCTAAAACAAAAATATAAATGGAATATTTTTCAATTTTGTCTCACAAACTTTGAATCGATATAAACAAATTTTCCTTGAGTATTCAAATAAGTGACAAATTCTTCTACTGGATAATCAGCATTCATCTTTAACATTCGATCTAATGTATTTATTTTAACAATCGACATAAAATATTGTTCGTTTTCATTAACTAAATAAAATAAAAATAATTTATACAAGTCATTTTTGTTTTGTTTTACTTGTTCGATATGCACCAGTCAATGTACATTGTTCATAATCATTATCAACTGCTCGTTTCCATGATATATCACATGTTTGTAACACTAACAAAATAATCTTGAATTGTTTAAACACAGAAAAAAGAAAAAGAAAAGAAAAACCTTGATGATTATTTAGAAGATAGGCGAGTAATTGATCATGATTTGATGGAAGAATAAAATCAAATAATGAATGATTAATAAGTTCATCTTGTGAATAACCAAAATATGAATGAATATTCTTTGAAACATAAACTATTTTATGAAGAGTTAAATCAAATTTAATAACAAGAAAAAAACAATGCATGGACTAAAATGACAAAAAAGGAATATATATGTTTAATTAGTTTTGTCTATTTAATGATACTTCAATAGCTAGTTGTAACCATTCATCAATAGAAGTTATATCACAAGGTGGTTTCCAAGAAAATTCAAGAATAGAATTTGATGATGATAATGATGAAGAAGAAGAATTTTGTAAATTTGGTAGAACTAATTGTGTTTTATTTTTTATATCTAAATTATTCTTTAATTGATATTTTAATATATAATTATATGTTTTACTTTGTTGATGTTTTTCTAAAAACGTTACAGTTTGACGTAAAACTGAAGCTTTATCTAACTTCGTATTTTCTTCGTTTGTGTCCGAAGTGTTTTCAATGAAAAGTATATCTTTTAGATTTGTTATTAATTGTGTAGATAAATCACGACGACGTTTTTCATTTTCATTTCGACATTGTCTTAAATGTTAATAGAAAAATAAATTCTTTAATAATAAAAATTCTATTTAGTTTCAGTACCTTTTTGTTGCTGGTTTCGTATCATTATTTCTAAATAATAAAAGAAAATTATTAGTTTTCAAAATTTTTCTAATTAAAAAGAGTTACTTTGAATATAATCGTTTTAATTTATTTATATTTCTGTTCATAGTCAAATATATCACGTTTTTACCAACTGCAATCGTTAATGTACACGTGTATCAACTAAAAAGAAAAAAAATATTAACCATAATCGTCGCAAGAAAAACGAAAAGTAACAATGCAGTGAACAATAGACGAGAAATTGAAGGAAAGACATGTTTTATCGTAGTCTTTGTTACATATGACCTCAAGTCTACATATACTAGATTATATCCAGGTTATGAATAAATCTTGTTAATAGTACATTGAACAGGTATTAATACAAATAAAAACAATCGATTATTTGATTCTGTTGTGAGATAAGAAATTAGATATTTTGACCTGAAATTGATTCATAGAAATAATCTCTTCGAAATTTTAATTTTCTGAATAATTAAAAGTTGTATAATTTATATAATAATTCAAATTACCATATTATTATATATTAACTTCGAAAAATTTATAAAATATTTAAATTATTATTATAAAATAAATGGAGGTTTTTCTTAGTACATCTATTAATCTAATCAATATTATTCATTTGAAAGTACCCACTAAAGGTCATACTTTCTAGCCATTTATAGTTATATCAATTCTCAGTTTTTTTTTATCGAAAAATTATTATACTATTGAGATGATTATATTTATATATCGTCTTATAAAATTACAAAAGAAGACTACAATAGATTTCTCAAAGCAATATTCTAATTTTTCTTCTAAGTATAATCTATGAGTAAAAATAATCGGATAGATGTCATAATATTGCAGTCAAAAAAAATGGCGTGAAATATTATATTCATGAGTGACTCATATTTTGTACCTCATACATATTTGCATTTACAACGATGAAAATCAATTAATAGAATCAAGTTTGATAGTAATATACGTTCTAATATTCCTTGTAAGAGTCTTTAATTTCTAATTGATTCATCATTCCAATAATTATTATTTAATAGCATTCATGAAAATTTTCAATTACATAACTTTGTATTTTTCTACTCACTTTTTTTGTTTAAATAAATATTCAATAGTAGTTGCGATGTGTAGATAGTATACGTGATTTTTTCATATGTAAAATATTTGTTTTTTTTATTCCGGAGAAAAAACAATAAACTTAACAAAAGAGTTATTCTAAGCATGTTTTTATTATTGAGGGGAAAATCAGTTTGTTTGCTTGAACTGTAATGAAGATATTCAATTTTTTCTTGATTCATCCTGTATTTATGTAATCTTGATGACTATTCCATTCCATCAGATATTTTCTTGTATTCTGCACGAGCATGGAGAAGAATAATTCAATTTCTCTCTCTCTCTCTTTCGTTCTTCTATGTTCGTAATCCGCTACGTTTAAATTCTAGCATTATTATTTCTATACATAGGAAAAGATGAAAATTACGTATGACGGACAAATTCAATTCGAAAAAGTCATACCTCGTCTAAAATGATATTCCGGATTGAAATACTTCATTTCATATCATAAGTTTTCTAACGATTATTGACAATATTTACGTTGAGTTGTATAATTATTAAGTTGTTGACTTAAATAATAAATATATTTTAAAATATCTTTTGGATAAATTTCTTCAACTATTGTCTCAAATGATTTTTCTATAGATAATTTTGTGTTATTTACACGGTTTATAATAAATGACATTTGCTTAAAAAATATTAGATTAATAAGAATTAATATGGCAATAAAATACTCGAAATAGATGTATAAACTAAAAACGATGAAAATAATTTTGTTTTAATAAATATCGAAAGATCTAACAAATATTTACTGTTATTTAAAAATAGTTCAAGATCATTTCATTTATATGGAGAATGATTAAAATTATGAGATGGATTTCTAATCAATGGAATTGATGAAATAAATGAAGATGAATTCAAATAACTTAAATTTAAAATTTATAAAACGCCTATTTTTTTATTTTAAATTACATTCATAATTTTCATTCTTTGTCTGTCACATCATATGCAGATTGAGTTGCATAAACTTTGTCAGTGTTGAATGAGTTTTTCAGTAGGTTAATACATTTGATCGGATGTTATATTGCTAAGCTATAGATCTGAACTGCAGCTATAATTTTATTCAATATTATTCATGAACTGAGTTATGTATATGCTACACTTCAAATTATTTCATAAGTCAGTTCATAAATAATAACCTTTACAGCCAAGTTACAGCTGAAGTCAAGATCTACAACTTGTGAAATTCATCTAACGTTAAAAAAGACTATATAAAGTAACTTATACTGTCATTCGAGAATTTCTACGTATTACACAGGTAGTATTTAATGATTTTCGAACAGTACGCGATTGTGAAAAAATCATAACTCATTACCTCTTATCGTACAGAATCTTTTCGATCTTCACGAACCGATTTGATTTTGACTAGTTTTGAAAAGTAAAACTTAATCATCGAAAATAGAGTATAATCCATTACAGATATGTATTAATTGATATATGGCGTATAGTATGCTTTATAGTATAGAAATAAAAGTATTTCTCATTTACGAAAAACAGGGATTAATAGCTCTGATTTTCGTTGAAAACACTCGACTGTATTTTTAGTAATAAAATTCTATCAAGAAAAACAATACTTATATGATAGTATCATATGAGGTATAATTTCATTTATCAGTATAGTTGCAAAAAGAAAATCTTTTCTAGTGTTCTGTAAGATTTTCTAGGGTTGATATTATAGTACTTTTCGTATGTTCTAAGTGCCAATAATCAAAGATCGATCTAACGTTTTCAAACAGGTATAAATAATGTTCTGTTTATTTACAATATAGTTGAATACGCGAAATGAGCTCAGCAAAAAAAGAAACAAAAAATATTTAAATCAGTTTTTTTAATTCCCTCAAAGGTAAATTTAATATTTTTTGGTTGAAAAAGAAAAGGAAATCTCATTATGAAAATGTTCAATCCTTAGTTGGATTTGTTGTTGATGTTAAATATTCAGTATCCTGTATTAGCTTATTAGCAGTTCATAGATCTGAAAATGGTTCTGTTTGAGATCAAGAAGATAAAGATGATAATGAATCCATTGACATATCATCTCTTGAATCTATTTCAGGACAATAACGATCAGTAGTATTTGCTATCGGATCATCAAATGCAGTTAAATCACTGTTTGTATCAAACATATTCAAAGTAATATCTAAACAATAATATAAAGAATATTTAATAGATGTATATGTTTGTATTTCTATAAACCTTCTGTATTTGAATCTTTCATTTCATCTGAAGTCAGTTGATTATTTGAATGTTTAATATGATATTCATTAACAAACTGGCGAACATGATCAATAACTCGAATTTCTTCTTGACGAATATTAATTTCATTTTGTTTAATTTTTCGACATTCAGTTAATTTATCAAAGATATCTGCTTGGTAAACATCATTTCGAAGATGAGTTATAAATGACTAGGAAAAATAAAGATTCTTATTAAAAAGTTTTTCTCCCAAACATATATACGTACAGTTATTTCATTTTCAGAAGACGACGAATTACTTTCTTGATTATTTAATATTGATGAAATTGTTGTTGTTATTGGTGATGATCGTTGTGCTGTAGTTGTTATCATTGAAGGCAATAGTAAAACATCAGCTGAATCTAAAATAACATCATTTTCAATATTCGTATTCATTATTATTATCTCAGTAGGATCATAGGTAAAAACGTTGAAATAAATATCTAATCAGTTATAGATATTTCATTGATAAATATATTTCAAATAATCTATGACATGAAAACTTTCGGCAACATTTAACTCACTGAAGAGAACCAAAAAGTGCTAGGCAGTTAAAATAAAGTTTTTATGCTTGTTCTGAATATCTGTATCGACGTTATTTTTCTGAATGATTACTTTTGATTCATTCCAGTGAGTTATACATTGTTGAAAGACGAATTAGAAATACAATTATTCAAATCGGGTGCGAACTTCAACTTTAATAATATGAAAGTAATTCATTCCAATCATATTTTTTCTATTTCTTATCATCTTAAAAAATACTCAATGAAGATTGTCATGTTTAGATTACCTTTGTAAAATCTATAATGGAATTAGGTTTTCAATAGAAAAGAAAGAGTAATTATTGAAAAATATATTTACTATCTGAATTATTTATCTGAATATTAATTGGTCTTTCCGCTAATTGTTGTTGTAATGAATGACTAAAAAAGACATTTCTTTATATTTTCTTCATAAAATAACAAATACCATTGAACGATGTATGTTGTACAAATATAACTTTCCACTTTTCCTGTCCATGTATTAATATGTGCTTGTGAAGATGTTTGAAGAAGAATCCATTGGTCATCTTTTGTTAAAAATCTATATGGTTCACTTTTTTCATTTCCATTTTCTTTCCCTTAGAGAATTTAAACAAATTGTTATATTTAATACTCAATTATCTTACATAATTTATAAGCTCGAACAATAACTGCAAGATCATCTGGATGAACAAAATCAAAATACGTACGTTCAATCATTTCAAATGGGCTATAACCAAGAATTTGTCGAGCTCTAAAATAAAAATATAAATGAAATGTTTTTAAATTTTTTTTCTCAAACTTTGAATCAATATAAACAAATTTTCCTTGAGTATTTAAATAAGTGATAAATTCTTCTATTGGATAATCAGCATTCATCTTTAACATTCGATCTAATGTATTTATTTTAACAATCGACATAAAATATTGTTCATTTTCATTAACTAAACAAAATCAAAATAATTTGTAGAAATCATTTTTGTTTTGTTTTACTTGTTCGATATGCACCAATTAATGTACATTGTTCATAATCATTATCAACTGCTCGTTTCCATGATATATCACATGTTTGTAACACTAAAAAATAATCTTGAATTGTTTAAATAAAAAAGAAAAGAAAAAGAAAAGAAAAACCTTGATGATTATTTAGAAGATAGGCAAGTAATTGATCATGATTTGATGGAAGAATAAAATCAAATAATGGATGATTAATAAGTTCATCTTGTGAATAACCAAAATATGAATGGATATTCTTTGATACATAAACTATTTTATGAAGATTTGAATCAAATTTAATAACAAGAAAAAAACATTGCATTGACTAGAATAAAAAGTATATATATATATCTAACTGATTTTATTTATTTAATGATACTTCAATAGCTAGTTGTAACCATTCATCAATAGACGTTATATCAGAAGGTGGTTTCCAAGAAAATTCAAGGGAAGAATTTAATAATGAACGAGAAGGATTTTGCAAATCAGATATAATTGATTGTATTTCATTTGTTAAATCTAAAATATTCTTTAATTTATATTTTAATATATGATTATGTGTTACTTTGTTGATGTTTTTGTAAAAACGTTACAGTTTGACGTAAAACTAAAGCTTTATCTAACTTCGTATTTTCTTCATTTGTATCAGAAGGTTTTTTCACTAAAAGTACATCTCTTAAATTTGTTATTAATTGTGTAGATAAATCACGACGACGTTTTTCATTTTCATTACGAAATTGTCTTAAAAATAAATTCTTTAATAATAAAAATTTTATTTAGTTTCAATACCTTTTTGCTGGTGACTCAGTATCACTGTTTCTAAATAATAAAAAGAAATAGTTTTCAAAATTTCTTCTAACAAAAAGAAAAACTATGACTCACTTTGAATATATTCGTTTTAATTTATTCATATTTCTATTCATAATCAAGTAGAAAACGTTTGCACCGTATACAATCGTTAATGTGCACGCATATTGACTAAAAAGAGAAAAAAAAGAATCAGAATCATAGCAAAAGAAAGAAAAATAAAGAACAACAATGCACTAGGCAATGTAAGTTCAAAAGAACACCAAGGAAAGAAAAATTCGTAATAAGGTCAAAAAGACATCCAGTAAAGATAAATTCATAATAAGGTTATCCAGTACACATGGCCTTATATGTTTATACATAGGAGAATATGCCTAACCCATGAATAAATCTTGTTAATATTATTTCGAAAATTTAGAATATCTTAAAAACATATATATCAAATATTTTATTATATTAAATAGATATTAATGCAGATAGAAAGAAAAACAAAATATTTTAATTTACAATTGATTCATAGAAATAATTTATTCTATCTTTTTTCTATGAATAAAATAAAACAATCTCTTCGAAATTCTAAATTTTTTAATTAATCAAAAACATAAAGTTTATAGAATATTTAAATTACCATATATCATTTTATATTGACCTCGAAAAATCTAGAAACTGTTCAAGTTATTATTGTAAAATAAAGAAAGTTTTCTTCTTCTTGATTTATGTATCAATCTTATCAGTACTACTCAAGATGAAAGTACTCACCTAGGTTCTACTTTCGAAGCATTTATAGAGTCATGTTTGATTCACCATATGTACGTGATCGTAAAAATAATAACGATACAATGAAAAAACAACGGCTTTTATACTATATCCAAAAAAGAACAGTCATTCTTTTTGAATATGTTCATTAAAGGGATAAAAAAAATTTACTATAATCATACTTTTATTCGTCGATTTACCTTTATCTTAAATGATGCAGAAAACAATTAACAAAATAATACGATATATGTATATATACCTATGACGTATAGAAGTCGTCATTAATCCGTTATTATTCAGCACAAATATAATTATAGCAATTATTTTGCGTCACTTATTTCGATTTCTTATTAGACTAGAAGCGATTGTCTACGTCATAGAAATAAATTATACATTTTTTAATTATTATTTTCATCTAAATACCAAATTTCGACTATTGTTTTTTTTTATTTTTAGATAGATTATAGCATTTTGTCTTTTCATCATTCGAACAGGAATAAGTACGTAGATATACAAATTGCATCAAGATCATCTTTTACATTTTTATCTATGCAGTTCTTTCGTAGATCGATGTATCTGATGTTATAGATATATTTCGATCAAATGATAAAATGAATATGATTGAAAAGCCTTTATTTAATAGAATTCATAACACATGTTTTAATAATTGACTAAAGATCTTCCTTTTACTTTTTGAATCTATTTGTTTACTTTCGATACTATTCGATAAAATGTATTTGTAGTTCAGTAAACGTTTCTTTCTTTAGGATTTTCAATGACAAAAATCTCTTTATGGCAAGTCGGTGTGAGTGCGATTCTATTGAAAGAGACTTCTTTAGATCCAACATCCATATCCATAAGATGGCTGTTGATCTAATTCGTGACGAACAATTGATATTGTCTGGTAGTTTTAAATTTCGAACAGTAATATATACTAATATCCAAAGAATATCAGAATATTAATAAAAGTATGTGCGGATGGGTTTGGATGTGAATGGAGCCATAAAAGAGAGTCAGCCACACCCACATCTTAAACTTGCAAAATATCATAATCAATTTGAATTCATCTATTGATTTTATAATAAATTATATAGAAGAAGCTCATGCTGTTGATGTACTTGTGCTTGAACTAGTTGAAGTTGTTGCTTAAATAAATTAAAATTATAGGAAAAGCTAAAAAATGAGTCGCAGTTCCACTATTTTGACTTTCGCAAGATTCCTTTTGGACTTCATTTGTATATTAATCAGGCTATTCTCCTGAGTCTGTATGTTGGGTTAAGACATTGATATCTGACTTTTGAATTTTTTGTGCCTGAGATACCTCTATAAGTCGACAAAAAACATTTGTTTTTTATTTTGATTTCGAATACCTATTTTAATCGGGCACGTTACGTTGATCACGCATATCATATTTTAATCAAGATATGCCTGGTCAATAAAAAAATGCCTAGAACGTTCACCATTTCGATCCTATAGGATTTTTCCTGAGAAATAATGTTTTTTTGACTCCTATGTTTCTGAAAAGTTCTCTTTTGAATGTGTCGATAATTTCAGTATTACTCAATTTTTTGTCCTCTATCTAAATCTCCAAGAATATCGAAGTAAGGTGTGGGTATGGTATTGTATTCATCCCACGTCGACACCTACACCCTCAAGCTGGTTTCCATGAATGCTATCAAAATATATGATCAATTTAAAATGGTCTCATTGTTCGATTATTATTTTATAGTGAGAAGATATGTAACAGTAATATATCATATTAAATATCAGATGTAAGACACAAAATAATCAATATCTTCATTAATTGTAATCTTTATTGAGGAGAAAATGAAATTTAATATCTTAAAAGACTACCGGCATTTTATTGCACAAATGAATTAGAACACGTGCTGAAGAAATACATTATTGTTTAATTAAATAGTTTAATGACATGAAAGATGAACATACATTCTCTTTTTATTATTTATGTGTGGGTGATGCAGAGAAAAAATATCATTCTTTTTTCTTTTATACAAATTACGAATAACTCTAACGATAAATTCAAGTATTCTTTTATTTAGTTCTAATTCTATATTTTATATTCATAATATGTCATAGTAGTAGTTAAAGACTTTTATTATCACTCATCACAGTAGTTTCTGTTAAGATGCTTTATAACTAATAAATGACAAGAATAGATTAACATTTCTTTTTATATTAAATTTTATATTTTCCAGAAAAAGAAGAAAAACATAAATTATAAAGAATATATTATTTTTAATAAAGTATCATGTCATCGTCATCAGTTTCTGACGGAATTCTCAAATTTACCACACAATATTCGCTTTATACTGGCTGTATGATATTTAGTTTTGGAGTTATTGGTAATGTGTTGAATCTTCTTGTTTTTACTCAATTGAAACTATTTCGAACTAATCGATGCGCCTTCTATATTACTATTGAATCAATTTTTAACTTAATCTATCAATTTTTATCTATTACTTTAACTATTTTAACAACAATATATGGAGATGATGCAACAGGACGTTCTTCAATTTGGTGTAAATTAAGATATATATTGGGACAAATAACTGTGTTCACTACTTTTTATATGATATGTTTTTCTTCTGTTGATCAATTCTTTTCAACAAATTATCGTTACAATTTACGACAAATGTGTACATTGAAAATAGGTCGATATGCTTCGTTTATATGCATTTGTTTTGCGATCATTCATAGCATTGCACTTGGCTCTTCTTACGATGTTCAAGCAACATTAGGGTGTGTCATATCGAATTATGTATGGGTGAAGTATTCAACATTTTTCTTTTATCCAATATTAATAGGTTTTCTGCCTATTGTAATTGCATCATCATTTAGTGCCTTAGCTTATCATAATGTTCGTCATATAGTTCGCCGACAATTACCGATTGTTCGTCGTAGGTTAGACAAACAAATAACAGCAATGGTTCTTACGCGTGTAATAGTCTTTGTTTGTTTGGTATTACCTTATGATATTTATCGTATTTATGTCATTAATTTTCCTACATCACAAAGTATGCCTATAGCATATGCAATTGGTCGATTGATTCAAGCAATTTTTATTTCTGCCAGCAATATAAATTTTGTTGTAAATAGATCATCTTTTCTAATTCATATTTGTAAGATTTTGATTTATTTTAGATCAACTTTTATATTTTTATGATATTTTCATCACGTTTTCGTCGTCAAGTAAAATTTATTCTAGTAAAAAAATGTTGGCAACGATGGAAACATTGGTGTTGTTCCATAAATAATCGAGTCTAGCCTGACAACAATATTGAACCATGCAATTCACAAATGGAATCTGGAGAAAATATCTAACTATTCATTAAATAAATATATCAATTCCCATATTTCTATATAATAAATCATATACAAATGTAATATTCATTTTATTCGTCCACATTCACCCTCAGGAAGGTGAGGATGATAGAAAATAAAAAGGATATTCTCTCACATTCTCATTAATGAAATTTGAACCTTTTTTATTTTCTTGAGGGTGTGAGTGCTATATAGGTCTTACATCTATATCCACACTCACATCCTAAATGATTTCATCATCTCGGCTCATGCCTCATCAATAAACAACTATGAACTGGAAATTTCGGGCTTCACAATTTTCTTTTTATGCAAAACTTTTTATTAAAAGTAACTACCAACAGTGTTTTTGTTTTATTAGAAAAGAAGCAGCATGACTTGTTCGTTCTTCTTTTCTTTTATTTTTTCATCTATTGAATATATGATTTCGTAAAGTTGTGATTTTTAAATAATTTTTTCTCTCTACACAAAAACACACTTGCAATTTCGGTCGATGACTATGCAGACTAAAAGAAAGTACATTTCATGATTTTAAAAAACAAATAAGAAAAGAATGATTTTAGTTTGTTACTAAAAAATTGATCAGCTCTCGTTCGTTTATTTTACAACGCTTATATATTGAACGTAACGAAAAGTAATAAACGAAGAATATTCTTTACTTAATAATTCATACTATTGAAACTCACAATGGGGAAAATTTTGAGTTCAAGCTTTATGTTTTTATTCTATGTGCTACTTTTAATGTAAGTATTGATTATCAAGTTCTACATATTATATACTTTTTTTTATCCTCTTTAACGATAGAAACACATCAGAACAACAACAACCGCTAAGTAATTAATAATAATAACTATTATTTTTCTCTATTTCCTTATTATTTATTTTTTAGTTAATTCAACAACAACAGCAACATGTAATTATACTACATGTAATTCTCAAGGAATATCATGTTCATCGAATCTTGATTGCGATTGTTTTTCATTAACATCCAATTCGAATATAGGAATATGTGCTTCAACTATTTTCTCCTGTGCAAGTGTTGTACGATGTAATATGGATAATGTAACTTGTTCAATCGCGAGTACAATCTGTGTGAATAGTACACGATGTGGTCAACCAATATGTTATCCATTACCCATGGCAAATAAACAAATTTGTCCACCAAAGAATATTACAAGTAAAAAAAATTTCTAATAACTATTTTAGTTGTATTTGTTTTTTCTTCTCTGAACAGCTACAACCATACATACAACAAGCACAACTAAATCTACAACAAAGAGTAAGCGTTATTTCATTATATTTTCTGTTTAAAATGTGTTTATTTTATGGCTAACTTATCTCTTTTCATTCAGTTACAACAACAACTCAAAAGACGACGAATACTACTAAAATATCGACAACAACAACAGGTAAAATATGCAGTAACGTTGGTACTGACTCTTACTCATAGTTTTTTCTTCTTCTTTTGCTTTCTAGTTCATTCCGGCACGGCAACTAATCAATCTGGTACAGCCGCTAGTAAGTAATCAACAAATAATTTATCTGTAATTTTTTTTTGATTGAAATGTATAGCAACAGCAATAAAATAGAATCCTTATTCATATCTATCTCATTCTTCTAAATTTATACTGAGTTCTATTTCGTGTGAGGAGGAATTCCATGCAATGAGATTTTTTACATGCATAATAGATTTAGCTCTATACGAGTACTCGTTCGTAAATTTTTCAAATAATTTTCTCTATGAACATCTTAAGGGTGGGTGATGATAAACACTATTTTGACTACACCCACACCCACACCCATACCAAAGATTATTTACTCATTTTTTCACTAGTTCATGTTTTATATTAGTTCCGGTGATGAATGCTATATAGTCCTTTGTATACCTATATATTGATCATAGTTAAAAAAAATGTTGTGTATAATTCACTATTTTGATTGTGAGATGTAGATAACTATGGAAGAGTTGACGCAAAGTTCATAATTATCATTCTATTGAATATCTTTCAAGTATAGCTTGTAAAATTTATAGAGAATCGAAAAACACATCAGTCAGTGTAATTAGCACAGTGATTAATTTGAAACAAACATCTCTTATATATTTGATTGTGATAACAGAGGAAGTAGAGAATATAGAAAACTAAAGATGTGATAATGATATGTGAAGAGACTTTGTATAATAGATTTGACTTCTACTCTCAGTCTGCATAATTTTGAGGTGATATAAAAGAGATATGAAAGACTGTTGTTTTTAGAATAATGAAAAATATTGTATATAAATAATGAATGTTGAGAATTTGACGATTTAATACTGTATTGTCTAAATATATAAAAATATAACTTCCAGGATGGTTTTCTACGGGCAATATGACTAATGCACGGTATTCTCACACAGCATCTGTACTATCAAATGGGAAAGTATTAGTTACTGGTGGATACGATGGTTTAAGTTATTTAAATAGTGCTGAAATATATGATCCATCAACAGGTACTTGGATGGCTACTGGTAATATGACTAATGCACGATATTTGCACACAGCATCCGTATTATCAAATGGAAAAGTATTAGTTACTGGCGGATGGAATCGTGTTAGTGTTTTATCTAGTGCTGAACTATATGATCCATCAACAGGCATTTGGACGACTACTAGTAACATGATTTTTCCACGATCTTGGCACACAGCATCTGTATTACCGAATGGAAAAGTACTAGTTACTGGTGGATACAATGGCTTTAGTTTTTTAAATAATGCTGAAGTTTATGATCCATCAACAAGTACTTGGACAATTACTGGTAACATGACTAATGCACGAAATGGTCATACAGCATCCGTATTATCAAATGGGAAAGTATTAGTTACTGGTGGGAATGGTAACAGTGGTCTTTTATCTAGTGCTGAAGTGTATGATTCATCAACTGGCATTTGGACAACTACTAGTAACATGGTTAAAGCACGATATTATCACACATCATCTTTATTATCAAATGGCAAAGTATTAGTTACTGGTGGAGCTAATAATAGCGGTATTTCAAATATTGCTTTGAATAGTGCTGAAGTGTATGATTCATCAACAGATACTTGGACAACTACTGGTAATATGATTAATTCACGATATTATCACACAGCGTCTGTATTATCAAATGGAAAAGTATTAGTTACTGATGGATGGAGTAGTAATATTTTAAATAGTACTGAAGTGTATGATCCATCAACAAGTACTTGGGCAACTACTGGTATTATGATTAATGCACGAGAATGGCACACAGCATCTGTATTATCAAATGGAAAAGTACTAGTTACTGGTGGATGGAATGGTAATAGTGAGGCTTTTAATAGTGCAGAATTATATTAAGTATTTCAAGCAAATTAACTTTCAATTATTTTATTCATTTTCTTGCAATTAGTCCAAATTCCTAGAAAAAACTTTAATTAAAATAGCTGTGATTTTATGACGGCTGCGAACTGTTTTCCTTCCATATTTTTATTGAATTATCATTTACTCTAATATTCGATCCTAAATAAAAATATATATCTTTTTTTCTGCTCTTATATATTAGTTTTATAGTGTAATTTTTTATAATATTTAATTGCTTTGATAGTATCGATCGGATTTGGAATGTATGATTATTGAAACATTTTAGTTACAAAAACAGTTCGAAGTAAGTTCATGAATGGCATAGATAAATATCTCTGTAAATAAGAATAACAGATAATCTAAAACAGAATTTATAATCATATCAGATATACGAAATAATGAGGTAAACAAGATACTTACATCCAACTTACCTTATTTTCATACGAATACCTATTTTAAAGAAAGAGAATCAACAATAAGACAGTTTCTGTTTAATATCTCTTTGAGATCAGTACCCATGTCGCTCTTTTTTTCATAAAACCGTCGGTAACCGCCGGTTGTGCTAAGAACCAGCGGTGACCGGTGGTTAAAGCTAGAACCGACGGTTGACCGCGGTTACCGATCGGTTTCGACTAGCGGATTTTAACGATGAAACGATAAACAAAAACAAACCAACTATATGTAGTAATATAAAAAAAATTAGAAATAATCATCAATATGATTAGAATTCTCTTGTTCTACTTGTTTTATGAAGATTTAGAGAAACAAAACTCATATTTTAAAGCTATACTAAGATGTCGCTTTTTTCTTTCTCATTGGATTGATTGAAATTGTTCAAGACTTGTTCATTAGATAAAGGACATAATGAATGAATCGATTGTTGAAGATAATTTTTTAAGTTTATAATACCTACGTATATAGTTTCCATTTTTATTTGTTAATTTGTCTAGAAATTTCTCACACAATTAATTTCATTTTTAGATATCAATATTTTCTCAATGTATCAAAAAACGTTTTATTCTCGTCGAGTTGTCGAAAGACGCAACGAAAAACGCAAACAACGCTTACGACGTTTGGAAAAAAGATCTAATTATTTGGAGATTTCATCTGATAGTGAAGAGGAAAATCAACATATTCAAGAAACACAATGCTCAACAGCAACAACTAATAATATTTTTCCAACAATTATAGATGATTTATCTTGTTATAACAATTATCATGATGATGAACATGACAATACACATATTTTGAACAATATTGTTGACAATTTCAATGATCAATCACCACCGCTTTATAATGATAGTAAATTATCTCTCAAGGAATCAATGAAGTTATTAATGAATTTACTGATATCTGATATCAATTTAGATAAACAAAATATTTTACGCTTACTTAAAATAATTAAATGTATATTGCCACAACCAAACACATTGCCTGTTACTTGGAAGAGTATCATGAAATTATTTGGACGTAATAATTTATTTACAACGACATTTTTATGCTCGTTGTGTCATACAAAATGTGATAAAACAAAATTTAATACAAAGATTTGCAGAAATGAAAGTTGTACACGTTCAAAAGTGGTATTAAAAACACATGAAACTACTGAATTAGTTAATTTAGACGTTCGTACTCAACTAACTTCAATTATCAATAGAAATTTTAATTTAATATTAAAAAATTCAGATTATTTTCCGAAATCTGATATATCAAGTGGTGCTTTTTACCAAACAACAATATCCAAATTAAAGTGCAATACACTTACTATAGTTCTCCATACTGATGGCGCACCTTTAATAAGAACTACTAAACAAGCAATCTGGCCATTATTTGGTTCCATCGTTGAAATATGTCCTCCTGTACGAGAATATCAAAAGAACATCATTCTTCTTGGTCTATGGTCTTCTAAAAGTAAACCTAACGTTGATGTATTTCTAAACCATACAGTGTAAGATTTTTTATTTGATTAATTTTTTTCGTTGTATTTTAATTCATAGATAATATTAATCTATTAATTATAAGAGAAAATTTTGTTTTATTTTTGTAGAAATGAAATAAAGTTTTTAATGTCTCATGGTACTTCGATTTTTGTCGACGATATGGAATTTAAATTTGTTCTTCGAACACAGTTCTTTATTTCTGACCTTCCAGCACGATCGTTGTTCTTACGAACAACTTCTTTCAATGGATATCATGCCTGTCACTATTGTTTGACAAAAGGTTAGTAATAATTGAAGCTTATAAAGTTAAAGTTTTAAAAATAAAATATCAGATAGATGATTAATTTATTTTTCTAATAAGAGTTAATTTTATGTTTTTCAGGCATATGGAGTGGTAGCATCGTTTTGTATCCATATGACCACAATAATCTTCAACTACGTTCACATAGTTCATTTATTGCTGCAGCTAAAGAAGCTCAAGAAAAGTCAACGAAGAAAAGAATTAAAAGTGTTACTGGTGTTAAAGGTTTATCCTGTTTATTGGAAATAATGTCATATCCACAACAAATCTTATTAGATTATATGCATTTGGTTTGTCTTGGACATGTTCAAACAATGATCAAACGTTGGATTGATTTAGTTGACAAATCAGATGTGAAGACGATGGACAACATGTTATTTAATATTCGAGTACCCCATAATATTCATGTAGTTTATAGAGAATCAATGTCAAATGTTGATCGCTGGAAAGCGAAACATAGTCGCTTATTTGTGCTCAATATTGGTTTACCTATAGGTTAATTATTGCTTTCACTTCGTTTCTTTTTTTTCGATAGATCAATGTTTTGTCGAAAAAAATATAATCTATCTATACATTAGCTTCTTTTAATTTTTTTAGGTGTTGCTAATCTTCCTTGTTTATATGCATCACACTGGGTAATTTATTGTATTGCCATCAAACTTTTACATGCACCTGAATTATCAAGTGATATTGATTTTGCTGAACATTTAATCAATTTTTATTGCCGAACAATTTCCAAAGTATATGATCAATCATTAGAATATTATTCACTCCATGCTCACCTTCATTTTCCTGCACAAGTACGACTTCATGGAGGTTTATCATTTTGTTCTGTAAGATAATTCTATTTTTGAACAAACTGTAAGATATTTATTTTTTATCTGTCTAGGCTTTTACGTTTGAATCCTGCATTAGATATATCAAAAAAAAAGTTCATGGTACAAAAAATTTAGCAAGTCAAATTGCATATTGGTATGACATGGAGAATATGGTCAATGATACTAAATTTGAAATTCCTTCATGCAATGGAATTAGTGTAATTGATTTTAAGAGTGAACAACTTGTTGAGTACCATCAAATTATCATCAATCTTATTCTATTAAATGATCAACATTTAAAAGAAATTATTTTTTATAAACGTTACAAGCATCACTTCATTACTTATCATACAATATTGTATGATAAATCATTCAAATGCTGCAGTTATATTGTTTCATATGACAACAAAAATAATGATATCATTTGTTATGGACGAATTATTGTTTTCTATGAATATGATAATATATATTTCGCATTTATTCAAAAGTATAATATTTCGAAGAAAAAAATTTCTGATTTTGTTGAATTACCGATTGAAGTAATAGAACGATTAAATCAATTATATCCATTAATGGAATTATCAAATGATTATGATATTATTTCTGTTGGAACTTTTCGTCATAAATGCATATCAATACCATTTCAAGATGTATTTTGTTTGTCTGAAATTCGAGTAGATTTTGAACATGATTGAATAATTTTTAAACTACATTGCCCAATATGGTGAATAAAAAGCAGAAAAATACTTTTTATTATTGACTATATTTAAAATTAAAAATAAATATCAATATTTATTTTTAATTTTAGTTATAAATGATAAAAGCACTTTTCTACTTTTTATTCACTATATATACTAACACTGCTAACAATTCTCTACATTGCTCAATATTCTACATTTCTATACTAAATGTTTGTTCTTTTTATAGATAAAATTTTCATCTTCTATTGTATTGTCTTCGATTGAATAATATGGCATCAATAAACTCTTATGAGAAACATTACTTAACAAGTCGTCGCTCAACAAACGATGATCAATACGTATTAGTACTTTTCAAAAGCGATAATACGTTTATTATTAGAAAAAAATCCACTCTTCATGGTGTTGATGAGAACGGTATTGTACATATTAAAGATAAAGGAAACACATATATAGGTTATTGTTTATTTGAAGGTAACTTTTTTTTATTATCAGTGATCAAAATAATTCAATCAATTATTATGTGAAATGTTTTTTCTTATAGGTTCGATGAGTGAGATCGAGTCCGCAGCTGAACGATTGGATAAAGAAATGAATACTGATTTGGAATCAGATTGTGAAGCTGTAGTGAAAAACTCCAAAAATAATAAACAACAACAACGACAAAACTTATCATCACAAACAAATTTGTCTAGAACAACTACTCAAATAGATAATTCATCAACAACAAAAACCAATCATACTCAAAAGAAAAATGATCATAGTAATCTTTCAATAATAAACTTTTTCTTTATTGTTGAAAACGTTTTTTTTATTCTAGGTGCCACACAAACAAGAATACAATCGTTAGCTTCAACTGATCTTTATAGTGAGTTCAAGAGTTTATTTCAATGATGAGTTATTTTTCGCTCATTTTTTCAGTGCCATCAACAATTTATAAAACACCACCACCTATAAATACATCTGTTCATAATAAACGAGTTCAAGAAACTTCTATCGAACGAAGTATGTTGTTCATTATAGAATGAACAAATTTTTTTGATAAAAATCAGTGGTTGTATTGTGTATGAAATAATATCCAAACATCCGTTTACATTTTTTGCAATATTTTTAAATAATTCGTGTGTCACATACTTTCATATTTTCTTTCTATCTATTTCAGGTACTAGTTCTACAGGTGGTATATTACGTTCAGTTGATAATGTGGCAAGAAGCACGAAAAATGTACGACCAGCTGAACGGATGTTGACGTTTGATGATGACTTTGGTGAAGGAGATAGTGATGATGAACAATCCGTCGAATCTGTACTTGATTTAGATAGTTTATTACCATCTACATCAGCAACAAACGATCGAAACAATATTCGAATACCTAAGAGAAGCTTACCAAAAACTTCAAAACGAACATCTCATGAAAAAACTGCTAAACGATTGTGTACTAAATCATCAGCATCAACAACTAATGATTCTGGTAATAATGAAGCAATAATGTTATTGAAAACACTGATGTTATCAGTTGCTGATTTAAACAAAGATATGTATCAAGCTTCAAAAGATATTAAAAATTTATTGGTATCGGTAGATAAAGTTGATAAAAAAATAAATATTTTGTATGAAAATCAAAAGAAAATGCAGCGAGCATTATCAAAGAAAAAGGTAAATATCAATTGTATCAATATTTTTCGTTTTAAATAATAAATTTTTATTTTCAAGATCAATGTTGCATTAAATGGTGATCAATTTGGGGATGAAAATATAATCGTTGATGATTCACCATTTAAATCTACATTGGTGAGTTATATTTAGCAGGTTTTGCTTATGAACTTTGGCTGTTGTTTATTTTTAGACTTATGTCAATTCAGAAGGCGTATCTGTAGATCTACTTCAGTTATATGGTGCTCAAACACATATGGGTCGTTATGTTGCACTTGTAATGGATAAGTTATTTACGTTCGAAGAAATAACAACCATTACTAAAGATGAATTGGTAAATGATGAACGATACTTAATTATTAAAGGTAAAACAAAAATCAGTTTTTATCATAGTCACTTCTTAAATATGGTTCTATTTAGAAGCAGTTCGATCAAGATTCAAGCTGAATCATGAAATGTTACAGTCTGAATGGTCAACCTTGCATGAATCCATTCTTCAAAAGAGACGCAATGAATTGAAGAAAAAAAAAAGTAGTGCTGGTAATGTAACAGTGCAACCTGCACCACAAGTAGTACTACAAAACAGCTTTGATGACTTTATTGGTTCGTTTGCAATTTAAAAAGATCCTTGTTAAATATCGTTTTTACTTTTATTTTATTAATTCAAGTATTTTTACTTTATTAAAAACATTTATTTTTTACATGTTACATGATTATTGTTATAATATGTAATACTTCTTTATTAACTGTTTTTATCGTATAGTCGTAGTTAGAATAGTAGAACATGTACTTGATTGATGTTGTTTTATGATGTAACTCGTGTTTTTGTAGATGCGTTCTTCCTGTGTAAAAACATAATGTACGCGTCTTTTGTTTGTCTCAGTACAAGTTGATTTTGTTGAACATGTATGCTGTTAAATAATAATAAGTAATTTTTTGTATTTCAATGATTTAGAGTACTTTTTTGTTGTTATGTTAGAGATTGATTTCGATGAGATTTAAATAAAGTCTAACTGAAAGCTGGATGTAAATTGAAACTTTTACTGTAGGCTAAATTCGATCGTTATATATCAGTAAGAGCATGAAGAAAACCGCCAGCGGAATGCAGTTAACGGCGGTTAACCGCGGTTAACTGCGATAACCGGAACGGTCAAATGGGCGTTCAAGCGGACGGTAAACTGCGGTTAACTGACGGTTTTAAAGCGGTTTGTATGACATGGGTAATTACGTCATTATTAGTTTTAAACATATCAATTCAAGCCACTTGAAAAAAATGAAATTGATTAGTGCAGAATATTTATAAAAAAGTATCGTTGAAATATGAAGACAAACTGTACACAAATCTACGTTTTTTTCGTCACTTTAGTTTATTATACAAAGTAAAAAGCTATTCAATCTTGACTTCACATTTCTTTAGTAGCCTTGGCTATACATACATATGCTTAATCTTTCTAGAAGCAACCAATCCGAAAATAAGTATAAACTGATAGCGGTAGAAAATAGGATTCGCTTATTAAATGTCAATCGATAGAATATCACGTTGCCTTTCAACACATGACTGTTGCACAAATGTTAGGTATTTACGTAACAAAATAATATTATTACAAACCATCTCCTTTTTTTTATGGAACTCGTTTATAGTATGTTATTCTCGCGCATATTGCTGTTTCTAGGTAGAATTCACGGAGCTCTATCTAATAGACGCAGCTTGAGCAGGGGTTGATTTTTTACTCTCATATCTATTCCAGAAATAATATGTGACGGAATTTCATCAGTATACAAAAATGAAACAGTTAAGACAATTAAGCGTGTTGTCTTGTTTTTTTGATGTGCTAAAAAAGTGAGTACAGTACTAAAATCGATCAGTGTATCCGTCCGTATACACAATAATTTTCGTAAAAAACTTTCCTACCAGAGCCAACTAAAATCCCATTTATTATATACTGTTCGATAGAGAATTTCACCAGCTAAAAAATGATAGATAATATATAATGAATCAAAAAGACTAAGTCACCTATATGGCAAACATAATTAAACAGGAAGTGGTTGCAATGTTGTCAACGACGTCATTGAGCAAGAATCAGAGCTCGTTCTTCGATCACAGCTATGTTACTTCAAGGTTTTCTGAGTCGGAGAACTTGAATCTGTACTTCATTTGTCTTGAAATCCCATTGGTTGAGCAATAACCAATAAAAATTAAGTTACGAAAAAATATTTTTCCTTGGATAATTCAAGGCGAAGAGTTCAAACGTGAGCGGTTGTTTGATCCTATATCCTATCAGATAGGCACAGCCAATAGAGATCGCGTTTACAGAAAAGATTCCCATTAAAATTTTGACATCTATACGTACTAGGATCACTCGTCTGTCTCAAAAACTTTTTACAGTACATATAATTCTCAGATAAAATTCGAAGTTTCCGCATTTATTTACTTATGAAATTTGTATATTAAACGATTTTCTCGATTGTGATATTTTAACTGATGAAAAGTTTGAATATCTAATAATATTCGATAGAAACTAATTGTAATTGTTTGGATCTAAGTCAGATGTTTTCAATTGAAAATAATAAATAAAAGTGTAAATGATTCAAGAAAAAATTGGAAAATATTAGATTATAGTAGAGTTTTATTAATATAATACATGGTTTTTATGTTCATTAATTGATAATTCTAAACTGACATCATAAAATGTCTACAAGGATATATTCTGAAGCAATTTGTTTCACTTTTTTTGTAAATATTCGTGGTTTATTTTGATCATAAAATTATAATGAAAAGACATGTAAAACAAAAGAATAATAGATGCAACTAAATTTCATTATGTTTTTGTATAAAAATTTCAAATATTAATATTTAATTCTTTTAGAAAACAACTATTCAACAATATTTCGATTGTCATATAGTACTTCTTTTAAATAAACAAATTAAGAAAAAAAATCAAAATACTCTTCGCGATCTATTTCAGTAGTTCACTGTAAAAGAATTGAATACTTCATTTATAAATAATCATGAATGTTATGATCAAATCTCTTTAGACACATCCTTTTCTATTTATTTTGATTACATTTTTTCTTTCTTACATTTATGCATGTGCCAACGTATAACTAATTAATTTGCCCCCACATTTTTCTTCTTATATTCATATATATAAACATTCTAGAGTGGGCAATTTACAAACATTTCTTTATATATAATTTGAAAAACAAAACAATCGTCAGCATTCAAAAAATAGTTTTAGTTCAGTTTTGATATTTATTTTGTTAAGTTAAATAGTTATAGAAAAAATGATTAAAATGCATTAAAAGTTGAGAAAAAAACGAAAAGAATAAATGTAAAAGATTTCTATCTAATGATAATAATATGGTTAGAGGATAAATATAATATTATAATAAGAAAAAAAATGAATAAATATTTTGTTTTTTTACGAAAGTCTTTTTTCATCTAAAACCAATTATTAATGTAATCTTATGCGCTCTTGCATCTTCCTGTATAATGGTCGGATGAAGTCTTAAGAATAGGTATTCCGTTCTTTGGCCAGCAGCTGCCACTCTCAGCATAGAATGTCCATGCAATACAATCTGGATATAGCTCACATAATGCAGCACATGCTGCTGGTGAATGTACTTGTGCTGGATGAGCGGCATCCATATCACCTCCATAATTATCCTCGCCAGCGACAATTTCTGTGCATCTTGAACTTATTGATAGAGCTAGATGAAACATAAAAAAAGAATTATATTATAGAAAGCTCTGAGGAGTTCTTCTTCTTCTTTTGAATCGCCATCATTATAACGACTAATTGTATGATTCATTCTCAAAAGAGATAAAAAAATTTTTTATATAAACAATCTCTGCAAATTACCAAAGAAAAATATGTACTGGACTTCTACTTAACTGTAAAATTTTTCAATCTTCTACTTATCAACTATTTGATCTCCAGCACTATTTAAAGGTGTAGCTGTGGATATGGGTGTGGATCGTATCCATGTGTTAATGTGATTCACACCCATACCTACTTGTAGCTTCATAATCGACTGTTCGATATCTCATGAAGCCAGTCGTTTTCAAACAAATGTCACATGCACTCGCCATTTAATAAACTACTTACAATCAGTTTTAGTTGCGGATGGTTTTGCTGCAGTTGCGGTTGGTTTTGCTGCAGTTGCGGTTGGTTTTTCTGCAGTTGTGGTTACTTT